GGGAAAAATTTTGATGAAGAAAGGAATGCGTCTCCCGAGAAGGGACGTAAGAGGTGACGTAAGAGCGAGGGAAAGCGGGAAATAGCGTCTGATAAAACGTATGGAAATTGAGAGCAACGGTGGTGTCCGCTGGGGAGGTTTAATCTAGCCAACGGTTCGGGTCGACGAATGGGTGAATAAAGAAATCGTCGCACAGTGGTGTATATGGCCCGAAAAACCGGACGTGCCTATTATGTAATTTGCTCAATCTTCAAACTTGATGAGAAAAAAATGCATTTTAAAGTTCGATAAAAACTAGGAATGAAATCACGGATTTCTGATCTTTTTTCCTCAAAAATGCGTAGGATTTCGGGGATATATGTACTCAGTAAAAATAATTGTAATTCACCCCCATAACTGAAAATAATTTTTCCAGAACGATTTGAAAAAATTTTTTTTCACCGAAAAATTTCAGGGAAACGTGTCACTGTATAGTCAGACATTACATTTTCCGTAAGGAATTTTTCTCTCGAAAGTGCGTAGGATTTCGGGGATATATGTATTCACCAAAAATGATTGTAATTGACCCCCAGAACTGAAAATAATTTTTCTAGAATGATTTGAAAAAAATTTTTTCCGGCGAAAAATTTCAGGGAAACGTGTCAATGTATGGTCAGACATTTTCGGTAAGGAATTTTTTTCTCGAAAGGGCGTAGGATTTCGCGGGTATGTGTAATCACCAAAAATGATTGTAATTGACCCCTGCAACTAAATATAATTTTTTCAAAATGATTTGAAATTTTTTAGTTTCGCCGAAAACTTTGTCCACCTTTTATTATGGTTATTCGGATAATCGGAACACTACTGTACCAGTTTTCTGGATTTCCCGATAAACTATTTCAGGGATGTACCTCAGACAGCAAACATTGTAGTTTACGTAAAATTTTTTAAATCGTCTTATGTCCGACTTTTCGGGACAAATACCTCACTGTGGCGTCGGTTATACGCGGAGAAATACTCTGTTTTCCATATTTGCGACACTCAGGATTTTTTAAATTTGGAACTACATAATTGTTCAGTAAAAACAACTTTGTTGCAAAGATTTTTTCTACTTTTGGAAACGAGCTCGCCAGAAATGATTGCGAGTACAAATAGAACGAATGGGGCTTGAACGTTTAATTGATACCCGAAATGAAGTTTCCCTAGAGCGAGCGGAAACTTCAATTTGTAATATTTCTACGGTGTAATGAAACGTGCTCCGGGCAGTTTTACGCAATAAGCCGATGAAATAGAAATTTCTACCGGCACAAAGGAGAGAAAAGGGGCAAACGTAGAGATCTGTAAACTTTTGTGCTTGGAGCGAAGCACAGGACGACAAAGAAGAGTCGCAAAGAAAGGAAGACAAAATTATCTTCTAACAAGTTTTCGAAAAGTTAAGAATCATATCAAAAGAACAGGTCACAAAGGATGGCAATGTTAATGATAAAGTCATTAGTTAATGATAATTCTTTGAGATGACAACTCCCACGAGAAATAACGTATAAAAGGAAAATACGAATATAACATTGTGCTAGTAAAATTTTTTTTTTTCTCTATTTAATAGGAACGAATGAAGTATGTCTATTAAAAACTTCTCTTCGTAGAATTCTTCTTTATTTACTGTTACATGCCTGCTGTGTTTTATCGGTTCGCTTCGGTTTTACGAACAACTCGCCGCGCGGGTCGACAAGCATTCAGCCACGTCGAATCGGAAAGCTGGGGCGAATACCTCGAAGGGAAATTCGTTTGAGCGATAAAGAAATGAAATAAAAGATCGCGAGGATATAAACAAGCAGAGGGAACGCAGACGCGTTAAATAGGAAAAAAGAGGCCCCGCGACGGTCCTCGAGAAGGTAGAGAATGGAAGGATCGTTCTCGAAGATTCGTGGAGAAAAAGGGAAAACGCAAAAGCAGTGAAAGTAGAGGAACGAAAGGGGGAAACAGAAGGAGGCAGCGCGGGAGAAGTTTTATTTCAAGGGAGGCTTCAGGGTGCAAAAGCTGCAGAACGGACGGAGGAAGTTCGTAGCCGGATAAATACGAGGGGATGCGATTCCACTTTTCTACTCCTCTTGTTTCATTCTCCCTCCCTTTATTTCTCTGGCTACGTGTATGTGTGTGTGTCCTTCTCTTTCTCTCGTTTCTACAAACCGAACCTCTGCCAGCTTGGAGTTTCAGAAGTGCCTTGTCACGCGACGCGACAATGTCTCCTCGATTTTATCAAAAGTCTAAACACATCCGATTAAATTCAGTTAGGACGACGCACGGGCCAGACACCTTTTGAATCGTTATCGAGCGCCGTGAGCAGCCTGAAAGTTGATGGGATTTCGAATGAATTAGCGTCGGGAAGACGAGCTTGTCGTTCGCTAGTTTTATTAGAAGTTCGACGAGGTTCGCTCCAGTCTCGAGCCTTTTAATCGAAAGGCTGGCTGGGAAGCGTGCGGGGCACGTTCGCGTGCAAACACGTACTGCCGTGCTTTAGCGTCCAAACGAGTTGATTAAATGTGTAATTTGTACGATTCTCCGAGGAAACTTTTTAACTCTTTTGTGTGCGAAGGAGTTTAGCGTTTCGATGCTAATCGTGGAAACAAGAGATCGCACGATTACACATAGAGGGTCTACATTAGAGAACGTACCACATTTTTTCACATTTAAATATTATTTTTCAGTCATTGGAAGGAGAAACACAAAAAGTTACAAACGTAATTATTTCGTTAATTCAAAATTTACTGAAAATTTTTTCAAGTAAAAAGTCGCTTTCAGGTAGTTGCGTACAGCTTTTCAGGCAATTAAAAAAATTGTTAAATTAATTTTTCTGTATTTCAAATATTTTTTGCGATAAATACTTGGCATAGTAAATATAAAAATGAAGCATCATTGTTTCTGCGACACGGAAAGTCCTCGCTTTTCTAATTTTTCGTCGGTATTTGAAAATGTTTTGCAGCCCCTTTCCAGCAAGTTTTTCAGTTTTTTAGACCTCGCAGAAACCCTCGGAACTTTTACATTCTTCTTGTCGTTAGATTTCTGCTTCTTCTTGGAAGTCCCAAATCTTTTTCTGTGTTCCCTTTACAGAATTTCTGGCTCCAATCGCTCTCTGAGCTTTCCAAATCTTTTGTTCGTTTCTTCTTCTTCGATTGTAGTTCCTTAATACCCGATATAACTGCGCGCGGTAGTTTTTATTTGTAAAATTCACAGGTGAAATTAAAGCAGAATTAAATTTTCGCTCCTGTGATTCCCAGTTATGGTCACGGTATTTGAGAAAATCGAAGCAGAGTTGTCGGGAATAACAAGTTCAAAGCATTAGCGTTGACTAATTACCGCGCATTATTGCAGAGATTCATACGTCGTTTTAATTGGTTGCCTCGTTAATCGTCGCGTGTACGTATCATGCGACGATACTCTAACTGTTACACGTGACTCGAAGACAAGCAAAAAAATATTCGATCGAACATTCGTGCTTGTAAAAAATTCGCCACTACGATCCAAACGAGTAACTGATTATTCTATCTACGTTTATTTATTAATATATTGTATACGTCTTCTCCTAACATTTTACGTGTTAATGTTTCGCTTCATAGCATCAATATTGTGGCTAAGTTTGGTTACATACGACATGCATACACGAGTGTCTCAATATACCGTGGAAATTGCACAATGTAAACAAATAATAACACACACTATCCTGCCAAGACAATAATGTGCATATATAATTGAAATTCTGTGTTGCAACAGCAACGGTAATTGCTATGGTTTATTAGTAATATGTACAATAATGAACTAAAATTTTACCAGTTATTACTTACGATAAAATGCCTTTGAAAACGAAATTTGTTTGCAGTCGATACCATAGTTCCATAGAAAACTATTATTTACTAACAAATGCAGGCTGGTAATTATGCAAACATCCCGCGTACAGATTTAAATTCATTTTAGATTAAATAAACAATTTATAATCCAGTTTTATTGCACATCAGTTCTTTGGATGCATAGTGTCAACGTAAATGTGAAATTAAACATAGAAGACAGCATTAATTGGAATAGATTTTACATTCATCGGATAGGGGATGAAATGTCCTTTAAAATGAGCGTTTGTACGAGTCGATAGCTCTATTAGTTCCGGAGATATAGCGATTTTAATTTCAAGTCGATGCGGTGGCTAGTTTCGGAGATATAAGGGTCCGAAGCGTTTGTTTACGTCGCGTGATCAATGAAGTCACGTGACCGTAGTAAATAGTAAACGTGACGTCACTCAGTCACCCGGTCAGTGGGTCAACGTGCGACAAGGAGGTCCGACGCGTTAGACGAAGACAGCGATAGTCGAATTAAAAAAAATTACCTTTTACATAAATTACGATATCTCGAAAACGAGAAGTCCGATCGACAAAAACCAAAAACCATTTTAAAGGGGAGGCTTTGCCGCCTCTAACAATGCCTCGATAATTAATAAAACACTAGTAGTTTCGGAACTGCAGACATCTAAAGTCTTAGTATTTTCAATGCGCGTTAATCGACTCTCGTAAGGCGGAGAGTGGAATTTAAAAAATTACCCCCTTTACATAAATTACGATATCTCGAAAACGGGAAGTCCGATCGACAAAAACCAAAGGCCATTTTAAAGAGGAAGGTTTACCGCTTCTAATAATGGTTCAATTATTTATAAAACACTAATAACTTTGCAACTGCACTCATGTAAAGTTTATAACGTAAAAGGGAAACATTGCAAATGGAAATACTTGTACCTAGGGTGAAAGGATTTTAAATATTTTTCTTGAAATCTCAAAATTGTGAAACGCTAAACGAAATTATAGTTTAATTACTTGAAAAATTAAGTAACGCAAAGGCAAACAGAATTTATTCTATAGTTTTTACTTAATTCCTTTCGAGGAATCGAACACCTTCTGTATTCAAACGCGAGCATGACCAGTAAGATAATTATTCTATATTATTTGGAGAATTTCCGTGCTAAGTTCAAAGTTTATGTTCAGTTACTATGCGTCGACTGCTTTTCCGCCCCGTTTGGCCCCGCCGTTGAAGAGACCCCGTTTGATGCCGCCGACTCGATCGCAGCATCCGAAGCAACAGAAACAACAACCAGCTGCAAACACGGCCACTGTTCCGGACTTGAACCAGCTGAAAGTATACAGTGAGTACCACCATTTCGTTGGATATGAAACGTCCCAGAGTCCTGAAAACAAAAAGAAACACAATTTAGGAGGAATGTTTTAACTCTCGCGAAGATACCTAGTTCCGCGATAAATTCTGTTAGAAGTATTTTATTCCGTTTCTTCTATAAGTATTAGGTGCTTATAAAAAAGCAAGAAACGTTGGAGAAATTGCAAATAATAGGAACATAGTTATGTTTATGTTTGTTCCGTAGAAAATAAAGTAAACGCACCGTCGGTTCTCGTTCCCACGCCAAAGTGTTGTTTAACTGTGCAAAAATTGTGATCGCTGGCGTGTGCGTGGCATCGTCGAGCTGTAAATATGGGTAGGTGTAAAAACGGAAGAGCGCGATAAATGTATTTGTCACGGGACGAGATCGCGACAGTCGAGCACGAGCCGCCATTAAATGAAACGCCATTTGCGTATTCATTTAAAAAGTTTTAGATTATCGCGCGCCCGTCGACTAGAAGCGAAAGTTTTACAGTTAAATAATTGCAACGGACGGTGTAGCGAGTAATTCATCCACCGGATGGGATTAAAATTTCCTGTAAACACACAGGATTCGACGGTGGTTCGTGGGGAAACAATGGAACGGCTCGACACTTTTATTCTACTAAACATGATACACCGTGAATCGTACGCGTTCTTGATTAACGAGAAACGTACACGCTTTTAATTAACAGATTCTAGCGCTTTTAATGAAGTTTGCCGATCAGGGGCATAAATGACACAGGATTTTATATTAGTTTTATCCCCTTTAATGGTTTCCGTTTGTACAGCATTGTTAATTAATTAAAAATATATCTGGTTGAACTTACTCAATACCGTTTCAAACTAAGGTTTAAGAAATCAATATGCTCCTCTATCTTGAGCAATTAGCCTGCTTTTAGTAGTATTATATTTCAGAAGAAGTTTATATTTTAAACTTATCTAATTATTTTTCCTTTTTGCTACGATGCAGGTTTTCTGATTCTGGAAAGAAAACTTCGTATTTCGTACCATACTCGAAGTCAACATTTTTTAAACGAAGGGTTTCGATTCTACTTCTGCCCTGGTTGCCGTGTTTCTTAAGTTTATGCATGCTTTAAATTAATTCACTATTTATTGTCGAATATAATAGGAATCATTTTAATTTAAATGTAAATATAATTGATTTTTTCGAATAAAGAGCGTTTGGTGAACAATAACGTACACAGGTATAGACAAACCCCCGTTAAATAATAGCCATCCTCCTTAATTAGCGAAGACGAGTCAATTAGGCATGACCCATTTTTAATTGAACGCAAGGGAGACGTTTCTGTTCGGAAAATGACCTGATTAACACTTAACAAACGAGCCATGTAAATTTACGTTTTCAAACAATTATTATTCCCTGAACAGGCGTTCACGAATGGTTACCATCGATGCTCGTGTGCAATACCGGGCATGAAAATAAATTAAAATAAATTTATTTAACGAGACCGCAGTGGTTTAGAATGTAAAAATAATTCGTCCGTTAAGCGTTGACAGGTTTAGACGATTTCTATCCCAAAGACGAGGGTTAAATCGAAATTAATCGAAAGCTCACTCGCAATTTTCGTGTTCCAGGCAATCCGGATATCCTGATTTGCGGCAACTGCAGGGAAATGTTTACAGACTTGGGCGAACTGCTCGAACACAAGCGAAATTACTGCAAGCTGCGGTTCACGTGTAAATGTCACACCTTCAACGGAACAGCCCCAAGTATGCATTCGAAAGAAAAGTTAAAGGAAGCCCCGTTTAGGCAAACGCGTCTCCTCGACCGATCAAGTTGCCCTTTCTCAAAGGGTTCTGAGATTTCCTGCGCGACGCTTCAGCCTTTAAGAAATTTCCCAATAAAGCTTCGACTTTCATTGGAATTCGGGGGCGCAGCCGGTTTCGAAATACAGAGTGTCCATACAATTTCTATCCAGTTTAGCGAATGCCAGAGAAATACGACGTTCTCGTGTTTAATAATCGAGTGGTTGCGTTCACTGAATAATTAAAAGTGAACTCTGACGTGACGACCATCGATATTCTCAGACTTGTGTTAACAGTATTCTCTATGTGATTAAATTTAAATCGATAACATATGGTAAACTAGTTGGCAAAGTTTTGTCTATTGACTCGAACTCAAATCATCGTTTTATGGAATTTCTTTCCTTGAATTCTCCAAATTACTAGCTTGTACATTTCATCTACGTGATATTAACTTATTTTCTAATACGAAAACACAGTTTTGCGATCGTAGCTAATTTTGGGCTCGTATTGATTCTCGACTCGATTCAATCTATTCTAAAGATTTTTTAAACAAAATGTGCATAATTTCGATTGTTCCACGAAACTGGATAGGTATTTTATGGACACCCTGTAACCACTCAACCCCGTTACCTTTCTTTCTATCGCGTTGAACGGAGCAGGTGTAAAAATGAAATTCGTACCGGTTCGAGTGGTTCCTCTCCGCGAGGAATTGTATTTTGGCATTTTATCAGGAAATGCAGCTGCGACCGCTTAGTAGTTTGTTTAGGATAGAGAAATCGAATCCAACTTTAGGAAAATGGTATCCGTCGATTTTTAGTGGAATATAGCTTTTGATAAACAAATTTTATCACCAAATTCCTTATCAAATTACAAAATATAAAAATTTTCCACTTTTAAGTAGTCATAATATACGCAATTAAGACATATTAGTAAACGTTGCACTGACGTTTAAGTTGTTCGTGCCAAAGAATGTCACCTGTAATACATTGGCGTCGTACTCATACGTGAAATTTTGGGTAAAATCGTATCCAGATATACGCATAGGGTAGAATCACAAGAATTTTAATAATCCGTGTATTTATAGCACCGAAGCGGTTAAAAGCATAAAAGCATTTCATGTCCAAAGGGGATTCTACGACGGCCCTTCTCTGCGTTCTCTGCAAAGTATCGTTCCCGTCAGCATGGGAACTGATGGTTCACGCTCAGGCGGCTCATATGATCAACATTTACGAGCTGGGAACTCGGCCTCAGAGTCCAAGATCCGCGCCCAGCCCTCCGCAAAGTCCCACCCAGCATCAAAAAGAATCATCACCGTCGCCCCAAGACTTTCAGGTGAGTTTCACTACAGATTTTCCACGTGTTTCGCCGTTGCTTGGAAAATAAACATTTTCATTCAATCGTGTGCACGTCCCAGAATATTAGATATTTTCAATTTGTACGAATAAAATTTTCTCCTTATTTCTTCACCGACGTAAATACGAACAAATATCGAACACGGGGTGTATTGAATTCACGGGGAAAGTAATTTCCCTCTAATGGATTCTCTATTTCGTTATTTTTGTTGGCCAAAAAGCGAAGTAGCGAACGATGACTGAGCAGTCTTATCAGAATGGACACCCTTGGCTGAAAAGGTCTGAAAAGAAAATGAGACCTCGTCTATTCGCGTAGCTTTAATTCCTGAGATATTTCTGACCCGGTTACGGGGGCACAGTCGATCCAGAGATCGAGTTATTTTCCGTCATTCGCGAAACGCGATTTTCCTTCCATTCTTTTCACCTTCGCACCCGAGTTTTTTTAGCTCCCGACAGTAAAAATCTTTACTTCTCCGTATCTTCTGTATCTGAAAAGTCTCGGGGCGTGAAGTAAACACAATGGAACCAGACTTCCTTGCTTTTATGGGAGAAATTAATTGGACGTTATTCGATACATCGAGCACTGAGAAAAATCACCGAAAAAGCATCGAGCTCGAACTGAATTTGATATCAGACTATAGAAAACGATATACCCTTGCTTCGAAGAGACTATAGTATTCGTAGAATACGTTTCAGGAGATTATCGTCCTCACTTCTTTACGTCGCGTGTTTTACGTATTAAGGAATCGAGAAGATTGCATCGTCTTGTAATGTCTTTCGATAAAAACTTCGCAGATACAGTTTAAACTTTTTTTTAAAACTCTTGTTCTTGGCGCGATAACGTGCAAATGACTTCTAAGTTTATTACTATGGTGAATGTCTCCGAAAAAGAAGGTATTACGACATGGTACAAGAGTAGGTTGTATAAAGAACGTTATTGAAGAAAATTTTCTTCTCGAACTATGAAAAGACTACCTTCTGAATCATATTTCACGGACACGTGATCTCCAATTTTTACACTTGGCTTTATTTATCGTAAAAATTTATTTAGTGCAACAATAATGTTTCTACAATATTTTGCATCAATTTTTTGATTATTTTCTGCGAGGCTTGACATCGATCGTTAAATTCCTGATCGTGAAACGAAGACACCGATGCATCGAATGGAGGAGCAATAATGACAATAATGTCAGTCCATTTAAACAATATAAGTTCTCCGGATTGCAAAGAAGAAAAGTAATATCGTCAAGCAAGCTCGGTGCTTAAGACAAGGTTTCGAAGAACCGGAACGAAATTCTATAACAAAAGAATGAAAAGCTGTCGTCGTAGGGAACGACGTACAACTTGGAAAAATATTACTTCATCATATGTTTCTCTGTCGATATGTCAATTCCAGAGCACAAACAAGGTATACGGATTGACCTATCAAGAACTGTGAACCTTCGTTTTGGATCCCAGTACTCGAGTGCCTTTTTATTATTTTCACTCTCGGTGATACGAAACATCGAATCTTAAATAAATTATACTTCGTGGAGACTATCGGCTAATCGAATTAATTTTTCAACCGTTTCTTAAACGTTCGAATAATTACATTTCTGAAGTATCGTGTAAATAATTATTTGGCGAAAATTTTTTTTAAGAATTAATTTTATTATTTATTTCGTGGCAACGTTCGATAAGTTGACACGTGAATATAATTTATCAAGATACGTAATTTAAGTAGAATAGTTTTGCTTTGGTCAGACGTCCGAATAAAAATAAATAACGAAGCTTGAGAAGATCTTGTTAATTGTTACTCTCTGACGTGTGTTTGGTTAATAATCCGTGACACTTTTTCGTGAGAATCGTGCGAGTCAAGTGGCTCGCGGCAACCTCTGAAAGGTTCTTGTAAATTTCTGTACAGCTCGTCTCTCAGCGTCGCCATTAGTTTGCCGGGGGAGTCGTGTCAAGTATGCTCGCATAAGAGTACGTGTTACACGCGAACAATGAAAATTTTGTCCCCCGAATGACGAACAATAATCGTTCGATTTAACGTAGAACACCGTTTGTTGCACAAATGTTTCATTCATAAATTCGAATCTATTTTTTAAATCGACGAGGGAAAGGTTACGAGCGAACCTGAAATTTGTATTGTTGGGAAATGAAACGTGTACGGTACCGTGCAGTGCTTTAGACATGTAACGTTCGAACGTTAAACGTAATCCATCGTTCCATGTTTGTTGCAGCAGGAAACCAAAGCGTCCGATTGCGAAGAACGCGCCGAAGAAGAGGATTTAGATGGACACGAATTAATACCGTCCCCTGACAGTGGCAAATCAACGGATAACGAGGCAGCTCTGTCACCGATTAAACTACGATCTGATGTGAATGGACTGGATCACGAAGAATGCGACGAACTAATGCACGTCGAAAACACCACACAATCTTGCATCATGCACGCTCTAAGCATTGTGAGTATCGTTATCCTATTTTCCTAATCGATTGCTTTTACAATCTTTTAAACAATTGCTTTATTCCCTTGGCAGAAACAACGTTTCGTTCGATTTAACATAGAATACCGAATTGCACAAATCTTTTTGAAGTAATCATAGAATATATTCGAAATCACTATATGTGACTCGAAATAAAAAAATAGAACGTTATTGTACAAATTGTATAACGCAAAGAATAGCATTCGAAGCTTGTTTTATTATTTTCTACAAATCAATTGAATTTAGTTACAAAGGACAATTGAATAGAAAATCTGTTTTGCATTGATTTTGAAGGTGAATAAAAACTACAAAAACCCGTTCTATTTAGAAGCAAAATAGTAAAAGTAAGGTAATAGAATTTTACAGAAATATTGTATAGATTTGCATTACATTTACTGGGAACATTTATTAAAATATAATACTCGAATCTGCGAGTAAATTAAATTCCGACCGGATACCTTTGTTTCATTTCTTAATCGACAAACTTGTCTTTGCAATTCTTAGATTTTTGACAATTTTTTTAAACTGGGTATGCTTTCTGTTATGTTTATGCTTACTTGCAATTTGTCATTTTGTTTCACTCTTTATTTTAAAGTGTAAGAGCTAGTCGAGCACACGCTGGTCGACGAGTGCTGAACAGAGTGCAACGATCGCGTATATTTTTGTAATTCGCGTCGTATTAACAATAAACAATCGTAATGGACTCCATCGCGGTACAGTTGTTAAAAGCGATCATTCGATGATCGTTCCCATCGCGGCGTAATCGTAAAACCATTGACGTGACGGTATTCACGCGTGTTGTAACTCGAGACGGAAGCTCTTCCTTCCTGCAATAAATCACACGAGGACCGAACGTTCTCTCGCCTTGTGCCATTTCGGTTTTGTATTCACCGAGACGATCGTTGCCAAATGGTTTCGCGAAACCGTCGTATTCGCGTAATCACCGCGCGTAAACGCGTTATAGCTTCCAACGATCGCGTTCAAAGATTTCTGCGAGCCGAATTCATTCAACGTCGTGATACACGCTCGAAAAACTTCATTGCGAAACCGTGATCCTTTCAACCAGTGGCAAACATCCTGAGACGAGCCGAATAACATAAATTTGCAACTTTGCCCCGGGGGTTGTGCCGGAGAATTTCTCTCGCGCGTCAAAGTATACAAATGCTTACGTTTGAAACTTTTAACTAGTTAAATATGTATAGTATACTGTGGAGCGTTTAAAATAATATAGTGTACTCGACTACGTGTGCATTCCTCGAGCATCTGTGTGGTTGAAACGATTGCCAGTCGTTACGAAGAAAAGAGTTTGGGAAATTACTTGTCCGAACACAAAATTAGTTTTTAAATTCTGAAATTTCTCAATTTAACGTCTTCTATATTTTTTCTTACTGTGTATACCCCGTTGAATTATTTTCTAATTTTACTAACATAATCTCAAGATTTTTTTGGACGAAATACTACTTTAGAAATTGACGAGAAGTATTCTTTCCGCGAGAGACAATTACTCTTCATTGTTGTTCCAACTCAGTGTTCTGTATTTTTAAAATCGATTGGAAATTCTCAACGGATGAGACTGATTTGTAACGTGATTTCACGCGCTTTATCCTCGAAAGTGTATTTAAGCGCAGATAGATAGTATCAAATGCTGAGATTAATCCGCGTACAATCTACGACAATACGCAAACAAATTAGCACGGTTGCGTCGCATTAATAGCACCGTGTGAATACAGAAATAGTAATATCGTGATTCTATCGTGAAATTCGCTTATAAATAATCCTAAACTCGCGAGCTATACAATATCTAGTAGCTATACAAAACGGCGGTGCAGATTTAGCACAGCATCGGGTCAGAATTTCCCGACATCTGCTTTAAAATATTTACATGTCGCAATCAAATATGTAGATAGAGTGCTTGGTTAAATTTTTAATTCGTTCTAAATAATAACATGGACGAAAAAGATGCTGTTTTATGGAGTGTTTTATGTGAAGGTACATGTAATCCTCAATTGACACCGCAGATCCACTATTTAAATCAAAATTGGACACCTGATCCATTTTTATAAAAACAATCCATTTATTTTAAAGTCTTGAAGCATTCTACATGCTGACAGACGATAATATTATTCGAGTAGACGACTCTCTAATTATTTTAAATATTTCAATTAAGACTGAATTCTTTTCATTGATTTAAAAATGTTTTTTACATGTTTTTAGACAAAAGAAAAGAAAAGGGAAACTATAATTAGAGATAATATTTTTTACTCAATTATTTAAGTTTTATTTAAATACACTATCCACAGAGGAATATTTGGTGTTTCGTTGATTCTTTCTTTTCGTTTATTGTTATTTGTCTGCGGGATAACTGACAACTCATGGGGGAGTTCTTAATCCTTGTTTCCCCGTAAAGCACTCCGGGCGACCCGAAACTTTTGATAATTTTTCTAATAGCAGTGTTCGTCCTCGCTTATATATATATACTCTCACCTTGTGCGTTACAGGATTCGTCCTTGGAACTCAACTCTGACACGAACTCGAGGGGAAGTTCTGGCCCAGTCATGGCGTTGACTAATGGATCCTTGTCCGCGAAGGAATAAGTCGAGAAAGAATTAGTCATTGGAACACGGTTCTCCCTGTCCGGGGATTTCTGTACCAACGCCACCAACGAGACATATCGATCTCCTTTAAGGATAACACACCCGTCTGTATATAGCTTAAATGCCTAACAAATAATTCAGGGTCGTCTCATGCCAGATCTGGGACCTATTTTGGCGAGTTTAGTATCGATGGATCGCGAGCCGTTTCGAGGATCCGACGAATGGGAAAGATTTAAAGCGTTTCGCCTTCGTTCGCGTCCGTCTTATCGATTAATCCCGTTTTGCTCTCTTTTCTTCTAGAACTTAGCCAGAAGACGAATCGTTTTTGGCGAGCTTCCATTCAGATGAAAGTACCGATTCCTGTTTTTTCCCCCCCTCTTCGCTCCCTCCTCTCTTCGTTTTAGTTTTGTTCGTTGTAGACACGTTCCCCCAAGTACCGCGTTCGAAAATTTTTACAGGCACGATGACTTTCCGCAACGTTCGAGGAATACGATACCGTAAGTTGGGGGCATCCTTCGCCCAAAGTTTAATCATTTTCTACCCTCCGGAGGAATATTTGAAAGAAACTATTTAATTGTTTTTTTAGAGAAAGAATTGAATTTCTTTTAGACGGTCAAAGATCGTCGATAAATTATTGCAGATTAGTTGAAACTTGGGATAACTTTGGTCCAAAATTTTAAAGAAACTATTTACGAGAAATCGACGAACTAAATACGAAAATAGAAGTTTGGAGAAATATTCTCTTTTTGTACAACTGACACTGCCACTCAATTTTCACGTAAAAAATAAACTATCTCCTATTTTGAATTCAAATTTACTTGACTGAAGTTACTCCAGCTTGTCGAGAATTTTAACCAAAATTCCGTTCGATCGAGTGATAAAAAATTATTAGGTATTCCTTGTCTGTGATAAATATTACATTTCTTATCGATCTTAGACGCAAGCTTGCTTTGCGGGAAACGCGTTTCGAGAGATTCGTTGCGATTGTCCGACCGCCCGAGGGGCGGGAAAAGATTTTTAAGTAGTCAGCCGCGATGACTCTTAAGTAGAAGATGCAACGTTAATGGATTCTTTTTTTAACGTCGTCGAGAAATAGGTGAAAACCAGGCTTGCCCGTTTGTGGTAGCGTTTTATGAATATTGCAAGTTGACTGCTGGCGTCGACGACTTAGCAAAAGAAGAATATTGTTTCTCCCAGAGAACGTCGTGTTTCTTTTAATATTTAAAAAATCACTAACTATATAATTCGAGTTTCAATCCCCTGTCGCATAATTTGACACGAAAGAGAGCCCAAGAAAAAAAAAATCCTTGTAAAGTTGACTGGAAAAATTTTTGATGAATTTGCAGGTGAATTCATTTATTATTTATTTTTAACAACCTTTGACAGATGAAATGAAAGTCATGCAGTAGAAGATTAACATTACAATGAACTAATTCTGTGTAGGAGTGCTGAAAGAAAATGTTTGAACACAGGTAAACACTTCTATTCGATCCTATATTTTTAAACTAAAATGTCTATGTTAATTCTGGGTTAAAATGAAGTAACTTTGATTACATCGATTTGGCATTCAACGTGTTAAGAGCAGCCTAATACCAAGGTCTCCCAGAAAATATTACGTGTTTCAAAACCTTAATTTATTAAGTGATAAGTACAACGAAACATAATTTTAAGCACGATGATCTGTGACTTTTTCCCCATCGTTTTGAAAGCAATTGCGTTCCTCTGTAATATCATGTTTAATGCCATCATTATCAAAAAGAGCTTCCCAACAATGTATTAACGAATATACTTTATTTTGATAGGCTGTTTAGAAATAAAAACAAAGTAGAACGTAAATGTTTTCTGGGATGCCCTAATTAGGTAAAGTAGTATAAATTTTCAATGTAATTGTATTTTAATGACTTGTTTTAACCGTGCAGACGAAATCCATGCAATCATTATCAACATTTGCAGCTAAATTAGTCTGCATTCCACGATCTACAAATACGATTGTAAATAAATTCGTCTGCTTTCCCCCTGAATCTCTTAGCTCGGTAACAAAAGTTAATTCTTATTAAACGCTTAATTATTTAGAACGTTGTAAATATTCGTGTAACCTTAAGTTAGCGTAATGGTGGTAGTTGTTACGTTTCGTAAGATTAATTAGGGGAGATTCGATCGAAACGCTTTAAATTCCGCGTGGAAACGCGACTCCACGATGAATTCTGCGATCTCGTCGATACGAATTAGCCGAATGATGCTGATTTAGCGTCGAGCTGACCGCCATTGATATTATTAAGACACTTTTTGATCCGAGTAGTAACCGAACAAGGTGACAGCGACTGATCGTATAGGGAGAGAAGATGAATTATTTAATTTCCCCGGTAGATGATATCCATTATGTAAACTTGGCATCCGTAGGATCGAACCGATATGGTACTAGACGCGTGAAAAGAAAAAAAAAAAAGAAAACATGGATTCCCGGAATTCTATCGATCGCGAACAAGATGATTAGCATATCAAACGTGTATTTTTGATGACGTATGAGTGCGGTTTCTTTTTCTCCAGCGAAACAAACAGAGGCATGCATCGTCCAAATTAGCGTAACTGATCGAAAAGGAGGGATAGAACGAAGAGAAAAAAAAAAAAATGAAGAAAAAACAGAATCTATTACGGTTACTAGTAACGACCGGCTACGTACAGAGATAATGGTGTTTAGAACTATAACTAACACACTTTTCGGAAGGATGAACCGTCGCGTCGGTTCGATCGATCGTCAGATTCAAACGGAAACACGTTCTTCGCGCCATTATTCGACATTGAACCGCATGCTGATATACCGTACTTTAAATAGTTACAGAAAGCCTCTGATAACTTTGGAAATATACCTGTTTTCTATAGATAAATAATACTTGCAGTATCATCGAGTACTCAGAGTTTGTGTCATTATTTCCACGTGATTATATACTGTGCGAGTCAGTCCATTGTTAACTGTTCGATTTGATTTTTGAGAAATTCAAAGCATAGCAGCAGTCAGGCAATCGAAATCTCATTGTCGTTTAAAATGCAACGATCATAATTTTTCCGGATGGTAGATTTATTTTTCAACGTAGAAATCGAACCGAAATTCAATTCCAACGCGTTACTGACTGCAACACCGATCAGTTGCTTCCGTCTCATTGAAGAAATCGTTGATCGAACGCAAGTTATCGGATGATATCGAGATGGAAATGACTCGTAAACATGATTATCGTTAAATGTTGTTGAATCGCCTGAAATATCCAGCGTACCCTGCGCGCCTCGACTTCCGAAAACGCAACGAAACGTTCGCGATGGTTGCGGCGAACGGTTAAAAGGTACTTTGACTCGATCTCGCGAAGATCGATGATAATCAGGAGACGCAAAGGGAAAACTAGGGCTGCTAATATCCGTGCGTCAGAGTGCAGGTGGTTTCCATTTATCTCTCGTTACGGTATGATCTAACGCGAATAACTATCGTGGAAACAATAATACTTGCAACAATAAGAATAAGTGTCCAGTTAACCCTCTCGCTTATGGCGCGTTAAATTCAGCATATTCAATTTCGTATGCTTCAAAACGGTGGTAATTTTACTTGGTATTGTCCTACATTTTGTACACGTATAAATACATATTATTTAACTTCTGATAGAAGGATTGAAATTTAAGGGACTGTCGAGAGATTGCTAAATACACCTAATTTTTACCCTTTCCTGTCCCTTTGCCACTTGTTGTCACGTTCGAAAACTAACAGAATTAATTCTATTAAATTCTACCAAACTTGTACAGTGATTAAGCATCATTTACACAAGCTAGAAGGTTTGGTCGTATCAGTTCATAGTCATATATACATTGTAAAATACCGGTAACAACAAACGTGACAGTTGTTTTGAGAAATTCGTGTCAGCTGGACGCTTCTTGACTATTTTTGTGAGCACCGTGTGCGCCAAAAATCCCTCGATCCTCTTTTTCTCCGACAGGTCTGCACGAAAGATGCGTAACGAAACAGGTTTTCATAAAAAACCAAAGTGTATTTACCCAAAATGCGAATAGACGAATGCAAAGTCTGACTATTATACGTGTACCTTGAAACAACAATCTGTTAGGATATTTTCTTGACAACATTGGTCGAATATATCGAAATTCTATGGCTAATTGGAATCGAGGGTGTCGAAATATTGTAGATCGATTACAAAAATTTTTGTATAAAACGCCGGCGTCGACGGTATCTTGTGGTTCTAAGATACGAAACGCTTGGCTTTTAAGGGACGCCAGTAAACATTTTCATACTTATATTTTATAAGGAGCACCAGTTTAACGATGATCGCGCGACAATTGCGCGTACGTTTGCCCGTAATACAGTTTCACTAACAATATTTATTATCGTAGATGTATATGTATAATTTATGTAATTCATCGCGCGTATCTATTGTTGTAACGTTGTAATATAATTATCATAATAGACACGAGACGGAGTAATCGGAACGGAGCCCGTAAGTCGTAATCAATAAGGGTGAATTTATGAGTTATTGGATGCAAAACGGACATAACGATTGTACGTACTTATACCGTTTCTACCATTAATTATATTTTATTAACCGTGCGCGTATTCGCATATATTTTTAATATCCGCACGGTAATAATTCTCTCTTCGTAACGCGAACGCTCGTACGAGGACGTAATAACGGGAATTTGAACATAATTCCATCCGTTAATTAAACGAGCATAATCAGAATAGAATTACGGATCACTTCGGCAGCCCTAGAACGATTGCAATTCAGTCATTGATCGTTTCTTCAATGGGATCCTCAATGTAGCTACGTCTGTTCCGTTTCCATAAATTTCGTTTCTATTTTTTGAAGAACAGACTCGTGTCTCGAAATAAAAATGATTATTGAATGCAATTTTTGCGTTGTCGAAGATCTATTGGTTTGCCTGTCGCGATGAATTGCAAATTGATACAAGGTAACTCGATCCTCCGTACACATCGAGTTACGAATACCGTTTTTTCCGTGTTCCATCGATCGTTTTCGACGCGATCGGCAAGCCAAAGTTTAGAATTTCGTACAGAACACGTTTGAACCGAAACGGGGAATGATTTCTGTACGATCGAGAGCTCTGTTTCCCCCGTAGATTTCTTCCGTGGATCTGCTAAATTCCATCGTAATTGTACATACGAAGCGAACGACTCGTGAATAAATCCATCCGGCGTTTCCCCGATTGCCTTTTTTTCGGTTTGCTGTTTGTCGTATTCCACGTGTCCCATGCAATTATATTTTAATCGCGTGCGGACTGCGAGCGTCTCGCGGAGTGTCAGAGCGAACCGCGAAACACCGATCGCGACGAGATGGTGGAATCCAAATCGACGAATAAATACGTTACCGTACCCTTAGTGATGTGTAGATTAAGCTACGTTAATCATTTACTAAAGAACATATCTTCCGAGTGGTCTATATAGTTTATCCGTATCACCGAATATATCCGTAACAAAAAAAAAGAAAAAAAAATACACGACGCAACTAAGAGAAGGATCAGTGATCGATGAAAAATTAATTGACAAACGATACGTCGATCGAGGTGACCTCGAAAGTGACTCGAAAGCCTCGGCCGCTTTTCTTCCTGCGTTCTTTCTTCGTATGAAAAGAGGATACATTTATCTATGTTAAGTTACGATTAGATTCTAGAAACGAGAGTTATTTGTTCTATATAGTCCTATAAATATATATACATATTATATATATATTATGTATATATATATATTATATATATGAACAATGTTTTATGGATCACTATCATCTGAATAAAGTACATTACGTCTTTTAATGCGTTCGGTAATTGATTTACGATGATCCCGTTTGTGTGTATCGATCGAAGATCGATATCGAAATCTTATTTAGTAAAGACACAAACGACAGCTATTTTTCAATATTTTCTAATAATTTTTCTAATTTTTGATAAGATTCCTCGAATTTCCAATAATAGTACTGGTATGTGTTTTAAGTTCATTTTAATAGTGGTAGCTTTCAGTTCGTTTCTACAGAAATATGTTTGTGTGACCCCTTTTATAATCATCTTGTCTCAGAGTGCGTTACAGCAAGTGTTCCAGTATTATGTGCATCAGAAATCATAGTAAGTATATAGAATATTATCTATCTTCTAACAGTCTATTGATCTAATTTACTTTACGATTCTGAACTCTCATTCTTCGCGTGATCTCTCGCAGCGCTATTGTTAAAGGCAAAAGGACGTCACGGGCCACGAAAAAAAAATAAAAAGGAAAGACAATTATTTTAACCCCCGTAGTTTTTTTCCGCGAAACTCAATAAATCTTCGTACAACATTGCTTTGTGCTTTCGCTAACAATGGCCGGCCTCGCGGCTTTGACTGCCAGCGTATTGTTCAGATTGCAACAGGCACAATGATTGTTTATTATTACACGTGGCCTCGCGTATAATCCAACGTTGTTTCTGCGCCGTAGAGATTCGAGGGACCGCCGTTGTAGGAAACATAATTCATTTACGCAACAAATAGCTTATTATACCCAAGCGTAGTTGACAGAAACACGATGCTTCTTGTTTCGAATTAAATTGTTCTTAATGACACGATTGAGGGGCTGATATGACTTGCTGGGAGTACGCGTTACGTACTTTTGGTTAATAAACGCGTTTACTCTGGGTGTTTCGATCTAGAAACGATTCCAACTAATTCACGCTCTCGATTAATTGCACTTTATTGACACGGAACATGCGTTGCTTTAGCAGTTTGTTTCTCAACCACGAACAGCGTGTGTCGCGATTTCATCTGACAATCAAGGTTCTACTCTACTTATTTTACTATACAGAGTGTTCGGCCACCCCTGGGGAAAAATTTTAATGGGAGATTCTAGAGGCCAAAATAAGACGAAAATCAAGAACATCAATTTCTTGACTGAGGCTTCGTTAAAAAGTTATTAAAAAATTAAATTAAGAAATTTTAAATCTTTCTGGAAAAAAATATTTTCAGTTGGACGGGTCAATAACAATCATTTTTGGTGAAAACACATACTCCCGAAATCCTATCCACTTTCGAGAAAAAAATTCGGGTAGGTGTTGAAATTTTTCGGTGAAATTAAAAAATTTCAAATCAATCTGAAAAAATTATTTTTAGTTGCAGGGGTCCATTACAATCATTTTTGGTGGTTAGACATACCCCCGAAATCCTACGCACTTTCGAGAAAAAAAATTCCTTACTTACGTCTGACCATACCGTTGATATGTTTCCCTGAAATTTTTCAGCGAAAAAAATTTTTCTCACATCGTTCTAAAAAAATTATTTTCAGTTGTGGGGGTTAATTATGATCATTTTTGGTCAATAGTCACAACCTCGAAATCCTACTCAGTTTCGAAAAAAAAATTCTTTACCGAAAATATACTGTGTGGCTGGAAATGTTTCTATAACTTTTTAACGGAGCCTCAAGTGACAAATTAGTATCCTTGATTTTCGTCTTATTTTGGCCTCTAGAATCATCTTGTAAGAATCATCGACTACATTAATAACAAGAAGACGTCAGATTATTACCAAATAGCCACGCCTGCATCCTAAAACAAGTTTCGCGAGTCTCTCGAACACATAGGCGCGTGTCTGTGAAACTTTTCACGAGGAACGAAGGGTGTTTGGAAATGAACGGATCCGAAACGCAGGGAACGTCTTCGAAAGAAGATAAACCATCGTCTCTGTGCATCATTGAAGACGTCGTGCCAGCCTGCGCGTCGCCTCAGTCAACGGTTTCAAGGAACGTTCAGGCTCGTAGCAGGCCGGGGGTGGAATGGCTCGTTATACAAAAATTTTACGGCACAGTGCCCTCAGCCCCGTCAAATGAGCTCTCGTCTCCACTCGAGTCCACGGGTAATGAGTCTGTTGTTTCTCCAATTAGACCGAACGCGAGCACGGGAAATAGGTATAAGCGAAAAGGAACTTGGGCACGATACTTCTGCGCTCTACGTGCTAAGTGTTCTACTTTATTCCGACCAAATCCTCGAGCCTCTCTTTTCGTTTCCCCAGCCACTCTCGCTTTCGCGCCGACGACCGCCTCGAAAACGAAGGAAAAACCAAAGTGGTCGACACGGGGGGAAGGGCCACACGAGAACGAACAACGGCTGTTTCTTCTTTCGCCCGGGATTCTTTCGTGTAAACGCTCGCTAGTGCACCGAACCCTCGAAGATCCGCGATCGTTTCGCGGAAACTTTTCACGCGTGTCGCTGTTGGTCAACGAAATACTCGAGGGAGGTCCGGAAAGCGTTCTGGAAATATTTGCCGTACGATCGATCGTTTGATATCTCGCGCAATTACTTCTGTTGATCGTTGGCGACTTCCAGCAGAAATTATTTATTAAATTGATATTAATTTGGTTCAACAAATACCACGGATCCCCTTTTAAATAATTACTTTGTCGTCCCTGATTTAACTCGAGATTCAAAGTGAGCGTCTTTTCGTCCAAATCCTGCGATATGAGTACAGAAAATTATATGCATTTAATATAATGAAACGTATATTTCTGCTACGACGAAAATAAAAACGCAGTTGAATATCACATATTTTTGTACACCAAGTGTGCAAGCATTTTACAATCTCCCGTCGACTATAACGACCCAAGTCTTCTTAAATATCTATGCGCTTTTCAACCGATACATAAGTGAGCGACATAACGTTATTGTTCGCGATTGAAACTCCCGAGCTTCGGAATAAAATCGAGTCTTTTCAGAGCCGACATATTCCCCTGAAAGTTTCGTACAAAACAACTCAAGTTACATGCAAGAATTGATATTTCTATGAGAATCTTCCTTCCCAATTTATTTCATGGTTAACAAGTAGATCTTTATAGAAATTCATATTTTTATTATTAGAATTAGCGAAATGGAGGTTTTGTAGAGGACTGTCTCAACCTCTACATACAATAATTTTGCATTCTGTAGTTTTTCAAGAATTAAAATTTTCCATAAATGAGTATGTGAAAGTAAGAAGTATCTTGGAGCATGGATCAAGCAGGAGGTTTGCTTTCTATTGCACGAATCGATATGGTTCTGCTTTTTTTACCAGATATCAGTGTACGTTTAACGAAATTATGTATCAATTAGTGAGAAGAGTATTTCGAAGTGACGTATTGAGCAAGTACTTTCATAGCTTCGAATGTCTCGGTACCAACAGCTTTGATGTCAGAGGGAGGTAACAGGAATCCAGAATTTCCACCGGGTAGTTCGATGGTGTACGATAAATTGATGCCAGCTTTTCCCATGGCCCAATCGTCGCTACCTCCAGCAGCAGGATCTAACACAAATACAAAGAAAATTATAATTATAATGATCTCTTTAACAGAAAAATAAAAAGGATTAAAATTCTTAACACCAGAACTACCAAACCAGTCAAAATGACCCATTTGTAATTTCTAATAAAACCTGTAAAAAATTTACCGTCATTTTCTATAAGAGAATGGATAAACACTTATTTCCATTGCATTGTACATTTCTTCACGCACCTATTTTTTCAATTTTCTTGGTACAAATAAGCATACTATAATTGTCGGTAGTTCTAGTGTTAAATATTACAATTCTTTAAAGAATGTTATCACCAGACTGCGGATGTTTATCCATTTATAAGAAATTCTAATTCCTAAGAAACTACAGAATGCATTTAAATATGCAAAAATATAAGAAATAGAGACAACCCATTAATTCTGTTAATAAAAATATAAATTTGCACAAAGATCGGTAGTCTGCGAAAAATTCATTAGATACTCGTTACTTACAAAGATGATTAGCAGAGGTTCCATAAGTATATTGAGTCTTACGTGACTTGGCAATGGCTTTCGCGAAGTTGCTGGCGAGGTTTTTCTAAAAGAAAATACAAATCGGTATAAACAATAACAAAATTCACATAGTACCTATTATCATACAATACTGATGCAAAAGAGAATTACATACCAGTTCCAGTTCGTTGGAAGGCACCTTAGACGTGAAGCCCCAAGGATACAGAATGTACTGAAAGGTAAAATTTGCGTGTTTCGTTGGAAAAAGGAAAGCAATACCGCTGCTCTGGCGAGCGTTAGCGATGCAACGCGAAAACTAATTCAAAAGTTGTAATCTCGCGGATTCCCGCGCGCTTCGAAATTTTTCGACTCCGTGCCATAAACGCTTACGCCGCGAGCACGCGTGACTTGGGAACACAAACGCTCGAAAGCGCCTGGCCGTATTCGGATTAAAGTAAAAATCTTTTTTTTTTAAATCATCGATAGCTACCTGACCGTATGAGTGGAACGTGATGTAGGCTTTGATTTGCTCTTTACGCGCCAAGATGAAATCGCGTAAGCGTTGATTTTCCACCTCGGAAAATGGTTTTGGCCCGGCGTACGTGTCGCTGCACGGGCTGGACGATGCACCGATCGCTGCGAACAAACGATTATTGTTTTCCTAAAAGATAACATTATCTTCTTTCGACGCTCTGACCACCTTTATCACGTGCACGTGAGTTCACTAGCAGTTATCGATATACTTAATATTTTATGTATCTCCGAATGGAAAGGTAATAATTTCTACGCACGAGTAACTCCAATTATATAGAACCGATTCATTAAATATTAGCAATCAATTTCGTACGAAATAATTTACGTGCTCGTGAGATGGAAAATTCTGAAGTATGAAAATGTGTTGCATTTCTTGAATTGCTAAAGTTACAAATAACCAAGGTAAACGTAAAGTTTATTATACGCCACTGGTACACACTGGAACCTCTGTTTAATTAATTGGTCGATACACGGAATTGTTTATCTGGCGTTGATAAATATTGTATTTTAGAGCGAGATACCACTGCTCCGTATAAGACGAAAATCAATAACGATGGTACATCGTTTAAAACTTTCTTGCCTCCCGAAGCGCGAATAAAATATTATCGAGAACGTTATAATGTAAAGAATTCACGCTAAAAAAATTGTCGACGATAGTATTCGTTGATTTTATCGGACAAGTTTTGTAACGACGAAAATAAAACTTGTGCCAGATAAGACAAAGCTAATCTTTCAAGCTGGTATCGAGTGGACGATGATATCGTGGAATGAAAATTTCTGGAACACGTGTCGAATTTTCTCACCGGGAGTCTAATACGGACGAGTGCTCGCATGAATTTTCCGTGACGGACAATTTTCAAACAGCGGGACGAATTAGGGATCTCAATTTAGAGACTCGCAACTCCGCCGCGACTTTGTTCATCGAATTTCGCGAATTTGGCTGAAATTCCGCGGATGAGAAAAATTAGCGAGACGTCCCTCAAAATAGTTCTCTGGCCTTCGGCGTTACTTGAATTAGAAGTACATTAATATCGCAATATACATATTTTAAAACGTATTAATGAGAAACTTCCTGGAACGTATTATAAGGTTTAAAGCACTGCAATTGCGAAAAAATAAATTCAACTTTTTACATTTATAACAGAGAGAGAGCGAAACGATTATAAATTTCATTGCTCGTCAAAATCGTTAGATAAAATGAATGTTTTTAAATGATAAATCTCTATTATGCCAGACTCGGTCGTACATTTTTCACAATTGATAACTGAAAAGTACAGCCAGATGATTTATCGTGTATTAATATAAAGGTTGAAGCTGGATACGAACCGATAAATATTTGGTCGATTTTTAACGCAAAATGACAGATTATGAAGCAAATTAAAAAATGGATATTAAATGGATATTATCTTCGATAAAGTTACAGTGAGAATTGCAATGACTTAATTGATCGATTTAGAATCCCCCAACTGTGAAATGTATAAGAAAAGATAAGAGATGAAATTGTCAGGGCGATAACGAGATCTACGCCCAACGTAATAACATCGGGAAATAACTCCGAATATCTAAAAAATCAGTGCGTTAAAGCTCGAATGAAGAGATCTAGAGGAGTAACAACCGTGCAGTAACGAGCAAGTTTTTATCACGCTCAATCATAACTTCAATGAAAACGCCGCGCAACTGCGCCCCAAAGAAAAGTTAGACTGCGATGGTTGAGTTAACCGTGACACAGTACTCTTCGCAGAAACACGAGGGAGATGTGTTAGCTAACAACTTGTCTCCAACTCTCTTTCTCTCCGTCACCTCCTCCTCCCTCTATCGCGAAACAATTTGCGACAGAAATTTTCGATTGCGTTTCGACGAGTTTTGACCCCCCCCACTTTCTGCAAGAACTCGCCCCCCCCGTAAATTGCATTCGTTCCGTGGAATATAAATCACCGTTTTGTTTGTAATTTAGTAACCCAAAGTGCAACTTGCAAACTTATACCTTAAACATTTTTCGTTTAAAACGCGTGTACAGAGGGTGTTCAATATTTATAGGGTATATAGGATGCATTGTACTGAGTAAAAAAGCTTCATTAAACATAGGTCAAAGGGTCAACCGTTTCTGAGATATAAACATTTTCGTTTGTTATTATCATAATTGGCTTATTACTGAATTTTCGATGTTTACCTTCCATTTCTACACACGCTTGGCATCTTCGTTTTTACAGAATCGCGAACTATCTCGAGAATTCCACATTTCTGTCGAACTGTTTGACAAGAATGGTGGATTCGGTTACGTGATTCTTCCAAGTCATTTATCGGAGAGGAATACACTAAGCTTTTTAAATATCCCCGTAAGAAGAAGTCCAAAGGGTTTAAATCGGGGGATCGAGAAGGCCATGCAACTGGTCCACCAAGTCCAATCCACCTTTGACCGAACACCATGTTTAAATGGTCTCATCATGCATGTATCACATCGATAATCTTTCTGCCAAAGGCATATCATCCAAGTACCGAGGTAATGTATTCACCAAGAAGTTTAAATAAGCAACTAAGTCAATCATGATACTAGCAAACAAAAATGTTTATATCTCAGAAACGGTTGCCCTTTCGACTTATGTTTACTAAAGCTTTTTTACTCAGTACACTGTATCCTATATACCATATAAATATTGAATGGTTTTTTTTAACACCCCGTAGAGTTACTCGTATTCGTGAATGTTTATTCACTATAAACGAAAGAAACTTGTTTCCTATGAATTGAATTATCTTTGAAGCTTCTACAAGTCCATTTTTTGTATACATCGAGATATGTAAGGGTTGATTAATTATCCACTAATATCTTTTAAGAAACTACTTTCTAAATAGAAGAAACACGGTAAAAATGAATGGTAAGAATTCGTGAGAAGCAAGTCTCTTTTCGTTTATAATCGCCATTATAGTGCACGAACAGGAGTGGGGGTAACAGTATTTCGTATAGAGGGAATACAATCGCAGAATTATCGCGGTTAAATTTTTTCACAATGGAGATATTATCATCGCGAATTCGTCGATGCTTCGATAATTGTAATTTATATTGTTCGGTTCCAATTTCGTTCTGATTAATCAATGGCCGTGGTATAAATGTCATTGATAGATTATCAGCAGTCTCGTTGTCTGATTGATGCGTACTGTGATCGCGATCGCGAAATATTCATTCGTCTCTTTAATAGAAACTCTCGCTCGCTCTCGTGTTTATTCCGCGCGATAAAGGCGAACGTACGCGCACGTTTTTTAATCGTTCGAACCGCGGGACAGATTAAATTATCGAGATTCGCAATCTCGTCTTTCCTCGAGTACAATTATTACAGGTGGCACGTCGCCTAACCTAGATACAAACGCGTGTTAATAAAAGCGGAAACTTACTCATCCATTCCATGTCGTAGTTCCTGTTTCCGTCAACGCCACGGCAAGACGAGCCACTGTTTACGGCCCTTGTTTTCCTCCACAAACGGTTCTGAAGTAATCAAAAACACACGTCCCACATTGTTAGAAATTTCGTATCGATATCTTGTTTAGTCGGGAATAAAATTCTTTTCGAAAATTTTCCATATTCAAAACGTGGTGTTTAGAAAACGAATTGATTGAATATAGATCCAAATATGATGTAAATATACAACATAGTAGATTTTATAGTTTAATATATGAAAAATATAGATATCTAAACTTTGAAATCACACAATGTGTACTCGTACAACTAACGCTGTTAAATTTTTCTTTAAATAATTAAAAAATTAAATTTGAATAATAGATAGATTAGTATGAAACGAAGAACCATTGCAACAGTGTGATTTATAAATTTAATGGAATCACCGCGGATTTAAAAAACGAATCGATCGAGATCCAAATATGATGTAGAAATACAACATAGTAGATTTTATAGTTTAATATATGAAAAATATAGATATCTAAACTTTGAAATCACACAATGTGTACTCGTACAACTAACGCTGTTAAATTTTTCTTTAAATAATTAAAAAATTAAATTTGAATAATAGATAGATTAGTATGAAGCAATGAACCATTGCAACAGTGTGATTTATAAATTTAATGGAATCACCGCGGATTTAAAAAACGAATCGATCGAGATCCAAATATGATGTAGAAATACAACATAGTAGATTTTATAGTTTAATACATTAAAAATATAGATATCTAAACTTTGAAATCACACAATGTGTACTCGTACAACTAACGCTGTTAAATTTTTCTTTAAATAATTAAAAAATTAAATTTGAATAATAGATAGATTAGTATGAAGCAATGAACCATTGCAACAGTGTGATTTATAAATTTAATGGAATCACCACGGATTTAAAAAACGAATCGATCGAGATCCAAATATGATGTAAATATACAACATAGTAGATTTTATAGTTTACTATATAAAAAATATAAATATCTAAACTTTGAAATCACACAATGTGTACTCGTCTAACGCTGTTAAATTTTTCTTTAAATAATTAAAAAATTAAATTTGAATAATAGATAGATTAGTATGAAGCAATGAACCATTGCAACAGTGTGATTTATAAATTTAATGGAATCACCACGGATTTAAAAAACGAATCGATCGAGATCCAAATATGATGTAAATATACAACATAGTAGATTTTATAGTTTACTATATAAAAAATATAAATATCTAAACTTTGAAATCACACAATGTGTACTCGTCTAACGCTGTTAAATTTTTCTTTAAATAATTAAAAAATTAAATTTGAATAATAGATAGATTAGTATGAAGCAATGAACCATTGCAACAGTGTGATTTATAAATTTAATGGAATCACCACGGATTTAAAAAACGAATCGATCGAGATCCCAATATGATGTAGAAATACAACATAGTAGATTTTATAGTTTACTATATAAAAAATATAAATATCTAAACTTTGAAATCACACAATGTGTACTCGTCTAACGCTGTTAAATTTTTCTTTAAATAATTAAAAAATTAAATTTGAATGATAGATAGATTAGTATGTAGCAATGAACCATTGCAACAGTGTGATTTATAAATTTAATGGAATCACCACGGATTTAAAAAACGAATCGATCGAGATCCAAATATGATGTAAATATACAACATAGTAGATTTTATAGTTTACTATATAAAAAATATAAATATCTAAACTTTGAAATCACACAATGTGTACTCGTCTAACGCTGTTAAATTTTTCTTTAAATAATTAAAAAATTAAATTTGAATAATAGATAGATTAGTATGAAGCAATGAACCATTGCAACAGTGTGATTTATAAATTTAATGGAATCACCACGGATTTAAAAAACGAATCGATCGAGATCCAAATATGATGTAAATATACAACATAGTAGATTTTATAGTTTACTATATAAAAAATATAAATATCTAAACTTTGAAATCACACAATGTGTACTCGTCTAACGCTGTTAAATTTTTCTTTAAATAATTAAAAAATTAAATTTGAATAATAGATAGATTAGTATGAAGCAATGACCCATTGCAACAGTGTGATTTATAAATTTAATGGAATCACCACGGATTTAAAAAACGAATCGATCGAGATCCCAATATGATGTAGAAATACAACATAGTAGATTTTATAGTTTACTATATAAAAAATATAAATATCTAAACTTTGAAATCACACAATGTGTACTCGTCTAACTAATCCTGTTAAATTTTTCTTTAAATAATTAAAAAATTAAATTTGAATGATAGATAGATTAGTATGTAGCAATGAACCATTGCAACAGTGTGATTTATAAATTTAATGGAATCACCACGGATTTAAAAAACGAATCGATCGAGATCCAAATATGATGTAAATATACAACATAGTAGATTTTATAGTTTACTATATAAAAAATATAAATATCTAAACTTTGAAATCACACAATGTGTACTCGTCTAACGCTGTTAAATTTTTCTTTAAATAATTAAAAAATTAAATTTGAATAATAGATAGATTAGTATGAAGCAATGAACCATTGCAACAGTGTGATTTATAAATTGAATAAAATTACCGCGGATATAAAGAACGAATCGATTGAATATAGATCCAAATATGATATAGTGTACAACATAGTAGATTTTATAGTTTAATATATTAAAAATATAGATATCTAAACTTTGAAATCACACAATGTGTACTCGTCTAATGCTGTTAAATTTTTCTTTAAATAATTAAAAAATTAAATTTGAATAATAGATTAGTATGAAATGATGAACCATTGCAACAGTGTGAATTGTAAGTTTAATGGAATTACCGCGGATTTAGTGTGCGTGAACTCGTAGCCATCGGGATTTAGAACTGGAAGGATGTACCAGTCGACGTTCTCCAGTAGATTTCTGTTCTGAGCTGCTACCAACTGTTCTACTATGTAGAGAGATGTCACCGGTGCGATCCATTCTCTGGCGTGAATTCCAGCATCGATGAAAATAGCTGGTTTAGTTTTACCGCCGGTTGACAGCTTTAAAACTCTCATCTCTCGTCCCTCGTAAGACTTGCCTATGTTAATTAACGAGGCCACGTCGCGGTGAGCATTCGTTACGTAATCGAGGTAATCACTGACCTGGGAACGATTTCAACAAATGTTTACTGGGGCTATGATCTTCTAAACCGAACGAGAATAAACCCTTAAACCCTTAAGCCCTTTTCGTAGAACTAAAGCTTTCCATTGCTGCGTTAAATTTAATGCTCAACTCTTTAAATTCGTCTGCATTATTTATCCTACCATAGGGATATGCTCGATCTTCGTGGTTTGATTTTTGAAAATAGCTCGACTCGAAGTTACGAAATTTTACAGTTCGAAAAGCATCCGATCGGGTTTTAATAAGAAGCTGACTTTAAAATTCCATTTTAATAATCGATTCAAATCACCAAATTGAGATTCGTAATTCCGTAAAGTCATTTATAGCTTGTTCAGTACGTGCCTCAAAGATATATATGTTCACAGCAAAAATATATGAGTCAAAAATTATTGGTAACTGAATTTTGAAAATATTTTATCTTCTATGCAGGGGGTGTTAGGCCAAACCTGGAAAAAATTTTAATGGAAGATTCTAGAGGCCAAAATAAGACGAAAATCAAGAATATCTTTTTGTTGATGGAGGCTTCGTTAAAAAGTTATTAACATTTAAAGTTCCGGCCGTACTGAATTTTTTTCCCGAAAGTGGGAAGGATTTCGGGTATATGTGTATTGACCAAAAATGATTATAATTGACCCCCGCAACCGAACATAATTTTTTTAGAACGATTTGAAATTTTTTTTTTTCGCCTAAAAATTTAGGCACCTACTCCCGATTTTTCTTAAAAATTTGTTTTTGATTTTTAGTAATTTTGTATGGCATCGTACGGAAAAGTTGTCTAATACTTTTTTGTAGGTACCTGTTAGCTCTACTTCAGAAAAAATTTTCATTGAAATATATTCGCTATTGCAGGAGTTATGGCAGTTTGAAAATTGGACCATTTTGATGGGGTTTTTGTCATTTTACGGGGTTAAGGAACAACTTTTTCAATATTGTTAGAATCTCTACATATTCTTCGCCAAAATACGCGTTGTTTGCCGTTTGAAACATTAAAATCCTTCAATCCTTTCATAAGTTATGATGTTTTAAAGATTCGCATGAAAATCCGGGCAGACATTTCTGGCCAGAAATTATAATTTCGGTGAGGAATTTTTTTCTCGAAATTACGTAGGATTTCGGGGGTATGTCTTTCAACCAAAAATGCTTGTAATTGACCCCTCCAACTGAAAATATTTTTTCTCAGAAAGATTTGAAATTTTTTAATTTCACCGAAAAATTTCAATATCTACCCGAATTTTTTTCTCGAGAGTGGGTAGGATTTTTGGATTATGTCTATTCACCAAAACTGATTGTAATTGACCCCTCCAACTGAAAATATTTTTTCCCAGAAAGATTTAAAATTTTTTAATAATTCTTTAACGAAGCCTCAGTCAAGAAATTGATATTCTTGGTTATCATCTTATTTTGGCTTCTAGAATCGCCCATTAAAATTTTTCCTAGGGATGTGGGAACACCCTGTATACTTTCGATAGAATCGACAGTCGTGATATTTACCCTTTTCCTGTCTTTAAAATTCTACGAGGGTAGTGGTAATAGAAACTTTGAATAATTCGAAAACAAAACTATTACTCACTTCCTTGTAATTAGGATAGTAGGTGAAAGATAGTCCTTTGGACGCATCATAATTTCGAAGACTCTGTTCCAATCGACGCTCAACCTGCTGCGTGATGTACTCTTCCGTCACAGCTTCCTGAACGTTTTCAATCGTCACCTTGTAGCTCATACCATTCTCTTCGAGAAGATCTTTGAACTCTTTCACTTGTTCAGCCGTCACCATAACATCCACAAAGTTGTCGGCGATTTTCAGAAAATCGAAACCGGGGAAGTCCACGTACTGCTTCAGAAGCGTGAGCTGTTCCGGGGTGCCGTAAGAAATGGAAAGACTCTGCATCCTGTAAATTTTTTAACGACAAAGACAACGTTCCTTTATTCCTATTATTTGAACAAAATTTCCGTAAATGTAATTTCTTAATAGAGACTGTAACAAAATTTGTATTAAAAAGATAGTTAAGGGTCACTATTTCGATGTGATTTATTAAAATTAAACAATAGTATTGTAAATGGAATTTACTGATTTCCTGGTGGATGAACTTTGTATTTGTTACAGTCACAAATTAAATGAATAATAACGAATGAAACACTGATCGAAGAAAATGAAGAAAAGTATTGCTAATAATAAAGACAGTTACCCCTCTAAGGGTGCCAGGTTTTCCACTTCTTTCAGTGTGATTTATTAAACTTAAAAACGTTGTAATGATAGAATACATAGCATCTAAATAGGCTAGCTCAAACAATAGCATTGTAAATGGAATTTACAGGTTTCCTGGTGGATGAACTTATTAATTGTTACAGTCACATGTTAAATTGAATAACAACGAATGAAAAAAATGGAGAAAAGCATTGCTGATAGTTAAGAAACGTACCCCCCTAAGGGTGGCAAATTTTCCGCTTCTTTCAATGTGATTTATTAAACTTAAAAGCGTTTTAATGATAGAATACATAGCATCTAAATAGGCTAGCTCAAACAATGGTATTGTAAATGGAATTTACAAGTTTCCTGGTGGATGAACTTATTAATTGTTACAGTCACATGTTAAATGAATAAGAATTCCGCTTCTTTTGATATGATTTATTAAACTTTAAAACGTTGTAATGATAAAATACGTAGCATCTAAATAGGCTAGCTCAAACAATGGTATTGTAAATGGAATTTACAGGCTTTCTGGTGGAATTATCTTATCTTATTAATTGTTAGTTACAGTCACGAGTTAAATAAATAATAACGAATGAAACACTGATGAAAAACAAATGGTAGAAAGCATTGCTGATAGTTAAGAAACGTACCCCCCTAAGGGTGGCAGATTTTCCACTTCTTTTAATATGATTTATTAAACTTAAAAGCGTTTTAATGATAGAATACATAGCATCTAAATAGGCTAGCTCAAACAATAGTATTGTAAATGGAATTTACAAGTTTCCTGGTGGATGAACTTATTAATTGTTACAGTCACATGTTAAATGAATAAGAATTCCGCTTCTTTTGATATGATTTATTAAACTTTAAAACGTTGTAATGATAAAATACGTAGCATCTAAATAGGCTAGCTCAAACAATGGTATTGTAAATGGAATTTACAGGCTTCCTGGTGGAATTATCTTATCTTATTAATTGTTAGTTACAGTCACGAGTTAAATAAATAATAACGAATGAAACACTGATGAAAAACAAATGGTAGAAAGCATTGCTGATAGTTAAGAAACGTACCCCCCTAAGGGTGGCAGATTTTCCACTTCTTTTAATATGATTTATTAAACTTAAAAGCGTTTTAATGATAGAATACATAGCATCTAAATAGGCTAGCTCAAACAATAGTATTGTAAATGGAATTTACAAGTTTCCTGGTGGATGAACTTATTAATTGTTACAGTCACATGTTAAATGAATAAGAATTCCGCTTCTTTTGATATGATTTATTAAACTTTAAAACGTTGTAATGATAGAATACGTAGCATCAAAATAGGCTAGCTCAAACAATGGTATTGTAAATGGAATTTACAGGTTTCCTGATGGAATTATCTTATCTTATTAATTGTTAGTTACAGTCACGAGTTAAATAAATAATAACGAATGAAACACTGATGGAAAACAAATGGTAGAAAGCATTGCTGATAATATAGAAACGTACCCCTCTAAGGGTGGCAGATTTTCCGCGCTGGCCGCGAAGATGGCCGCGACGTAAATCGTCGCGATTAAGAAGACACGCATGTTGGCTACTTTCGATGAAACCTGTTCGTTGTGCTTCAGATTTCAGGCTTTATATATCATGTCCTATCTGCGCCCAGTAATCAATGTCTTGTGTACGTTGCACCAAATCAGTTTCGCAACTTGAAATCATAGACATTGTTACTGGTGCGTCACGATTAATAGCACATTGTGATTGGAAAGTCCACAAATCGAGCGTCGATCTTGTGAAATAACCACTAACGTGGAGTGAGATAAGTTCTCGGGGATAATGACATTCTTATCAAGAAAGATAGCTCTGATTGAAACTTAACAAATAATTGATACGTTTTCGATGTAAAGGTAATCGTCGATGGAGATTGCAAATCTTGTTTCCAGTTAACACCAGTGCATCGATCTCTGTAATTGTATTTTTTTCGTGAGAACTACTTTGTTTGATAATTACGATCGATAAAACGATAGCGCTGAATTAATCGATTTACTGAAATTAATGAACAGTTATTTATCTTTCTCCTATGATTTCAAGTCATTGATGATTGCAGATTGCAATTGCATGTGGTGATTACTTATAAATATCGGTTTAACGATTATTTCTATCGTGATTGCTTTCTTAATCGGTTGGAGAAGTAACAGGGAAAATAATCGATTACTGTTCGACCGCAGGTCTAAACGACGATTCATTTTAGCGCAAATATTTCATTGCGGGCTCCTTGGGACTTACATGTTACGCCTTGTCAATTGTAAAACATTTTGAATATATTCTGTATTAAATTGAACATGGACCTCGAGCCTCTTAACTTTTATTACTTTCCTTCCACTTACACTAAACTTTCCCTCGACTAGATATTTTCTCTCTTCTCTTTTTCTCTACCTTTCCTATTAGGATAAGGACATACTCTTAGTTTTTACGTTTCTTTGAGCAAATATACGATTTCACATCGTGTCAAGCATAATGCACATTAACTTGTATGTTCTTCAGTCTAATTAATAAAGAGTGCGTAACGCTTATTACTATTATAATAACTACAGTAGTGTCTGCATAAAGTGACTGCATTCTTGCCCACTTAAATGTCCGTTTATTTTGTCCGTGATGCTGCCTGCCTATAAGTTAAAAAAAATGTGACGCATCTGTGGTACACGATTTGCACAGCCATATGCGGCAAACCGCCCGTTTATTGCGAAGTAGTTCGTTATTCTCCCCGCTATATGGCGCTCATTTTTCGACCTTGTGGCGACAGGTGCGTTTTCTGTCGCGAGGTTGAGCTCTACTTTACCGATTAAAGGGTTGAAGTTAGGGTTGTTATAAGAAAAAGTTAATGTTAATGTTTTTTTGTTTTTGATCGCTAGGAGACGGCTAGTAGTTTGTTTAAACAGTTATAAGAATAACTCAGAGTTCTCCAGATATTCAAAAGAGTCATACATATGTTCTAATTTATTACGGCTACAACCTCAAACCCCTTGGTGCTAAAACGCCCAAGTTTGTCGTCGAATAGTTTGTTATTTCAACGCTAGATGGCGCTTATTTATCGACCTTGTGGGATTATGCTGCCTTGATGCACGTGGTTCGTTTCCACGTATGATGCGCGTGCGTTCGTAGGCCCACCCCTACGACCACGGATGTTAATATTTGAAATGACTGAACGCGTGTATATAACAACAACAACAATAACAAGTATTCTTTATTCACGCTAGGCGTACAAGTCTTGGTTTAACAACAGGAGTTTTTACTCTGGATCTTTTGGAGGTGCTTCTTGGTGCAGTTCTTACAAAGCAGTGGTTTGAGCGTCCTTGCATTTTGGGGAGGACGCGCTTTCGCCCTGCTGCGCTGCGCGTGCAGCCTTACGGCGGATTCGCATTTAACGGGAACTGCTCCCCTATATTCTTGTGCGGACGAGACCATAAGTCTCGACCCCACAACCTTATAGCGTCTACGTCTATACACACAATAATGTTCAGGACGAGGTGGATGAATATTTGGTATATATTCCTTTATTTCTCACAAAAATGTTAACACATGTAACTAAACGTAAATTAACAACGTGTCTCCTCTACTCTTCCGCGCGCGTTGTCCAAGCTACCTTCTTGTAGCTAGAGTGGTCACTCGATTTTGGGAAATCCCCATTAATTCGCTGTCTGTCCACCAGGGGCATCACGGTGATGGCCGAGATGCGCCAACGTTCCGACTGGCGGCCACAACCTTATAGCTCTTTTGCTATACTAATATTTAAGGGTGATTAGACAGCGGATGTGGTTTTCACAATATTTATTTTCAACAAGAATTAACAGTAACAATCAACAATTAACAGTAACAGCGAACTTCGTCTAGAAAACACACGTGTGCGCGGGTCAAGAGCTAACACCGGAAGGCAGTACTCAATTGTTTTTGATGGTTGACTCGACTGTTTTAAAGAAGAACAACGGCATCGTGTGCAGCGCCAAAGCTGCGGACGTTGGCCACAAGGTCGGAAAATGAGCGCCATCTATCGTTAAAAATAACGAACTATTAACTACACTAAACAAGGATGCAACCACATGGATCAGAACAGAATCATTCTGAAGATCATCATTCTTGAAGAATGCAGTCGCTTTATGCAGACGCTACTGTTGTTATTGGGAAGAATAATAAGCTTTAGACAGTGTTTATTAATTAGACTGACGTGCATATAATCTCAAGATAATGCGTGTTACGCTTGATGGGATGTAAAATCGTGTATTTGCTCAATGAAATGTAGAATCTAGGAATATGTGCTGTAGTGTCAAGCGTAGGTTAGCGGTGTGTTCTGTCAGGAGTAGGACTGTTTCTGGACAATTTTGGGCATTTGGCGTTAATTGTGAAGCATTTATAAGTGATCTAAATTACCGAGTACTCTATTGTTGTATTAATAAATAAATTGACATTAGTTTTCGATCGTAAATAGTTGGGACGGGACGAGAGTGAATTACAGTAGTGGCCATTTAATTGTCCGCGATCGGGAAACGGGCATTGATGGGATTAGCGCGGACACTTAAATAAAAATGCGGTAATCGTTATACGTTGTCGGAAATATAAGCTAAGTTATCATAATGGGCATTAATGAGCCACTAACATGGCGAAAGAGCGGGGAGTCTACACCAGCTACAAGGCGGCAGATCGGTGCCATGAGGAAACTGCTTCTCCATTTACGTACGACCATTCATGAAATTATTTTTATTTATTTTAACAAAGTAGATAAATTTAATAATTTTAACATCACAAATTTTCTATGTATTTACATTGTATTAACATACGATAATAAACATCAGGATACTTGTACTTATCTTGAGTCTCTGATTCTATGGAACAATGTTCCATTGATCTTGTAAATCGGCATCTTTGATCTTTACTGTTAGATCATCGACGCATGCTAATCGAATACGAGCTGTTGTTGCTGGTGCATCCAATCTGAAGTAACCATTGAGACCAAATTCTTGTCGAGCAGATTTTATGGCTTCTCTTATGGCAAAGAAAATGGAAGATGCAAGAAACAGAGGTGGTTCTCCAACAGCCTTAAAATATTTGCATCGTGATATGGTAAGTTAGCATCTACTAATTATTTGACAAATGCTTTGTGCATTGAATTGGAATAAATTATTTAAAATAGTATGGGTCTAAAATGAAATTAACTCTATGAACTGAAACTGATTACCTTGGATGAATAAACAGCTCTAGGGTTTGAAGCACCTTTCAATAATGTTACATTGAATACTTCAGGAATGTCTGCAAAACCTGGCAATTTGTATGCTCCTGGTCCTCTGCTACAAAGTGCCCCATTTTTTAGATATACCAGTTCTTCTAATGTGAACAGTCCATATCCCTGCATGAAACCTCCCTCTACTTGTCCTATATCAATTGCAGGGTTAAGACTCTGACCCAAATCCATTACAATGTCAGTTCGTAGAACCTATATTTGGAATATTACAACATACAGATAATTAAAACTGAGAAAGCTGATTAATATAAATAATTTTAGCAATACTTCATAAAATACTTACTTGATGATCACCGGTCAAACAGTCAATTTCTACTTCCGAACATGCAACGCCATATGTAAAATAATTAAACGGATCTCCAGAATTAGTTTCAAATGAGTATCCTATGTCAGGAGTTTTATAGAAACCAGTAGCAGAAAGACTGATTCTTTCTGTATAAGCAGATGCTACCCATTGTTCCCAGGTTCCAGTTGGATTCTTATCCATTACCGGCTTCAGTCGTTTCATAATTTTCTCACATGCATTCTGAAATTATTGCACGTGAATACGGACATGCAAATACATAATTTTAAAAAATATATATACTCACCAGAACTGCCATACCATTCAGGTCAGAGGCAGCACTAGCTGCTGTGGGAGAACTATTTGGCACTTTGTCCGTAGCACTTTCCATAATGTGTATTTTGTCTGCCTTTATTTTTAATGCTCTACTTGCTACCTAAAAATCAGACCCATTTATTTTAATTTCAATACAGGTTATTAATACAACTCATTAAATAGCAAAGTATTACTTGTATCATTTTGGTGTGTAAACCTTGCCCCATCTCAACACCACCATGACTAAGAAGAACAGAACCATCTGTATAAATGTGAACTAGTGCTCCAGTCTGATTCAAAAAAAGTACAGTAAAAGCGATACCGAATTTTGTTGGAACTACTGCCAGTCCTCTCTTCTTGTACCTATTTTTTCTATCGAAATAGTATTTATTAGAGACAGTCCCAAGACATCGGAGCAACGAACAGCAAATAGCAAATATTTAAACGAACCTGTTGTACTTCTGAATTTTCGCAAGTCGTTCAGCGTAATCTGAGCCTAAGAGACACTCTTCCCAGCAACGACGTAATGTACAATTAGTAAGTTTTTGATTATAATGAGTCGTGTCTCCTTCTTTATACAAATTCAACTCGGCAACCTGTTAAAACAAATCACAAGGTATCTTTATTATTTTCGACGAGCTCTCGCGCAATGCCTAAACCTATCTCAGAAAGTTGTCGGACCTTAACAGAGTCCATTTTCAAATATTCCGCAATGTGTCTCACGATAGTTTCAGCCGCAAACATTCCCTGCGGTCCTCCAAAACCGCGGAATGCTGTACTCGATGGTAAATTCGTTTTGCATACAAAACCATTAATATCGCACACTGGTATTTTATAAGAGTTCTCAATATGGAACATTGCACGTTCCAGAACCTATGAAAAGAATAATTTTACTACTTTCATCTCATCTATCGTCATAATCGAATAACGTGAACTCACTGCGAGAGAAAGATCGCGCGAGTAGCCGGCGTTATTGTAAATGAAAATTTCCAAAACTTTAATTAAACCATTATCATCGAATCCAACTTTGTATTTGAACAGAAACGGGTGTCTAGCTCCAGTTATCATCATATCCTCGTCTCTGTCTAACATACAACGTACTGGTTTCCTTAATCTATAAAAACAAGCGATCGTTTAGTTACTGGAGTATTAATTTATATTAATATTATAATTTGTGGTACCTGTAGGCGGCGAAGGCAACTGGCAGAACGAGTACCGAAGAACGCGACTCTTTCCCTCCAAAACCACCGCCCAATCTTTTTACTCTTATCACAATTTTATTAGCATGAATGTTCAGAGCGTGTGCTACGTGTTTCTGTACTTCCATGGGGTGTTGCGTAGAAGAGAATATTTCTAATTCGTCCTCGCGTGGAATTGCTAATACAGCATTCGTTTCCAAGTAAAAGTGCTCCTGCCCCCCTGTTCGAATCTCTCCTTGAAGGATATGAGTCGATTGGGAAAAAGCTTCCTCGGCGTCCCCCTTTTTTATGCGTTTTACAGTCTCGTTGAAGAAGGAACGATGTTCAATGGCATCCTAAAATTATTTAACGTAGCTCACGAAGATACAAGGGTGTTGATAAGACGAAAATCAAGAATACCAATTTGTTGATGGAGGCTTCGTTAAAAAGTTATTAACGTTCAAAGTTCCGCTCGTACTGAATTTTTTTCTCGAAAATGCGCAAGATTTCGGTGGTACATCTATTCACCAAAAATGACCGTAATTGACCCCCGCATCTGAAAATAATTTTTCCAAAACGATTCGAAATTTTTTTTTCCCGTCAAAAAATTTTACACCTTCTCGAATTTTTTTCTAAAAAGTGAGTAGGATTTCGGGGGTACGTCTTTTCACCAAAAATGATTGTAATTGACCCCCGCAGCCGAAAATAATTTTTCCAAAACGATTCGAAATTTTTTTTTCCGTCGAAAAATTTCACACCTTCTCGAATTTTTTTCTAGAAAGTGAGTAGGATTTCGGGGGTACGTCTATTCACCAAAAATGATTGTAATTGACCTCCGCAGCCGGAAATAATTTTTCCAGAACGATTTGAAATCTTTTTTTTGGCCGAAAAATTTCAGCACCTACTCGAATTTTTTTCTCGAAAATGCGTAGGATTTTGGGGGCATGTGTATTGACCAAAAATGATTGTAATTGACCCTCGCAGCCAAAAATAATTTTTCCAGAACGATTTGAAATTTTTGAATTTAATTGTTAATAACTTTTTAACAAAGTCTCCATCAACAAATTGGTATTCTTGATTTTCGTCTTATTTTGGCCTCTAGAATCCACCATTAAAATTTTTCCCAGGGGGTGGCCGAACACCCTGTATATGATGGTGTCTTGTCATTCCACAAGTTACAATTATGTATATTCTTATATTATACCTCTATAGAAATGATCACTGGTTTCAAATCCTCGTACTCGACTTGAACCATTCTGGCTGCTTTTTGTGCAATAAGCTGATTAATTGCAACGATTGCTCCAATTGGTTGGCCATGACTAGTTACCTTAAAAAGCATACGTACTTATTCTTTTCATTCAAGTATAAACGTACTGTTTGCTCTCTATAGTCCCTACCTCCTCTGACACGAAGAATTCTTCGTCGTGAAATACTGGACCGTGGTAACGTTGTTTCTCAGGTACATCTTTCCCGCTGTAAAAAGCGACTACACCTTCCACGGACAGCGCTTTGGTTGCATCGATGTTTAAAATTCTCGCGTGTGCCTTGGTAGACAAAACTAAAGCTAAGTAAAGCTCATCGGTGAACTTTGGCAGATCGTCGCAATAAATCGCTTCCCCTGTCGCCTGTTTGAAAGCACTGGCGTGGACGATGGGCCTCCCAATTAAGTCATCCGTTTCCTGACCTATTGGAACCTAATGCATCAACAGGTAGAAAAATAAAAATTGCCCCTTATTGCACCTTATTAAATTTCCTCTGAAATAGTAATTATATACCTCCTGATAATATTGCGAACTTTTCGGTTCTTTGCAATGGAATGCATCCGATGCGCTTTCAAATTCTTTCAGCGACAGTGGAGAATCTAACGGTACTTGAAGCTTTCCAGCTATGTGCATGAATGCTTTAAAAAACAAACTGTGAAACGGATCAGTAATTATTCTTCGAAGAACATTTGATAACTCGAATTTAGTTTGTAATTGCATACCTTAAAGTTAGAGATTTACGATATTTAACCATCCCACCCGGAACGTTGTCCGGAAGCGGTAGCTCATCCAGTAGCGAGGAATGCACGTTTTCTAGAAGCGTTTTGTTCCATTTCCTAAAGCAATTTTAGAATATTCTGTTCTACGTAACAATACTACTAATATAAAATATAATTTACAGTATTCTGACCTACCTTCCAATAATAGTTTCGCACGTCTTCCTGGCCAAAACCGTCGTTGGAGCCATTCCGCCGAACGCCAAGTACGCTTTTTGAACAATATTGGTCTCTGGTACAAAGAATACATTTAATGCCATATTGACGATCGTGATATCATCGTCTCGCCTTCTCGCCTGCTTGTAAGCAATGAAATGTTGATTCTGGAAAGTGCAACAAATTAGATAACGTTTCTTATATCAAAGACTGATGTGTTCTAGATTTTCACCTGTCGAGAGAAGGGTATTTGAAGGGAAAGCAAAATCTCGTGCGGTGAGACAATATTCTGTCTGTAACCTTTAAAGAAAGCGTGGTCCATCGGGACAAGTCTGTTTCCATTCTTCGAGCTAACGAGATTTAAATTTATTCCGCCAGCCATAAAAATTGGATTCAGATCCGATATTGGACTTCCCGTCATTATGTTCCCACCAACAGCCTGTTAGGAAGTAGGATTAGGATTTACAAGCATAATATCTAAGAAAGCAATTAACAGTTGCATATCATTTATAGAAACACTCACAGCTACATTCCTGACTTGTTTACCAGCAAACCAATGAAGCATGTTGACTATTTCACTGAAAATTCTCGTTTCGTGTTCTGTAATAATAACGAAACAAAAGTATAAACAATATAGTAAATAATTAATTCTCGCGGTATTACAAGTATTACCAGGTTTCTCATTAATTTGCTTTTTTAGAGCTTTTTCCAATTCCACGAGTGTAACACTGGCGCCCACGTTTAACATTCTTGGACACTCCTCGATAGATCGCATTTCTTTGATCAAAATAGGATGTATAAGAACCGGATAAGACATGTGCTTGAACTTCACTTCAACTCCTAAGAAAATATGACCAATTTATTAAACAGTAAGTACAATCACATAATAAATAATATAATAAGTGTACAACTATACCCATCTCAGTGTTTCCCACGACAATTTTTGCATTTGGGTGCTGTTCTTTTAAAGTAAGCAATTCGGAGAGTGTCCTGGGTCTGTACCAAGTAACATTTTTTCCTTTAATGATTAAATATTGCTCGTCCAAGTGCGAGGAAATCTGAAAATATATTTTGCTTCTGAAGATCGTATATTGGATGAGAAAATTAAGTTCGAATTTTCAATAAACGATGGAAAATCGAACCTGCAACTTGGGTGGAAATATAATTTCTTGGGAAGGATCGTACGGACGGAATTCTTTCGGATCGAACACTTCGGTCGGTTCCGCTATTGGCATCTTTCTGCAACAATTTTCTCCCATTGAACAAGTCCCATTCGTCAAGCACCTTTCTCGTTGATTTGACATTAATTGCAATTGTTCCCATTCCTCCGTGAAAGTTCTGTACGCTTCTATAATAGGCCGGTACCCGGTGCATCTGCATAAGTTCCCTACAAATAACGACACCAAGAATATGAAACATTTAAATGATCAAAATGTTAGAAATGCATTACGAGATATTAGTAATTCGTACACTTATTTGCTATATTATACGCACTGCAGGGTTTGTGATACATACAATTACGTACAGAGGAACAATTAGAATGTTGTTGAAATCGACTAACCACTATTCTAAAAAAAGACGTGTGAGACTTTAATTCTTCGAAAGTGATAATTTCGTTTATCGGCAGGAATATCGTTTCACCAGCAAAAAGTACCTTGTCTAGGACAACTATTTTATTTGCAATTGGTCTCGGTATCGCAGTCCTAATTCTCATGAGGCTTCCTTCGTCAACTTGTTCGGATTCTTGTAAAATATCCTTCAATTTCGCCCTTAATCTCTTCGATTCTCCGATCAATATATCATATTTAATAAACTTAGCAATAACTCTGTAAAACAACATCATTAAGTTAAGAAAATTTTTAATTCATCGTCGATGAACACAGTTCGAAGAAAGTAGAAGCACACAGTGATAAAATCAGTCGTTATTGTTGTTAAATAAGAACACTGAGAGCAAAGTTTTCTTTAGAGACGAAAGGAATAATTTCAACAACTTCTTCATTGCCACCCTGTGTAAATGAAATAAAACATTGGTGTCGTCGTCGATTCGCAAATGTCCTATAATTTTAACAAGTTGAACAGTGGCGGGCAAAGTGCAAGAAAAAACTTATGAAAATGCATGCAGATACATGGCAATAATTGCTAGGACTAATCGTACGGGGGATCAAGGATCTAGAAGTTGCTTTGTTGGGCGAGAAATATCTGCACATCCGGTGGCCACGTGCATTTCTTTGTTCAGGGGTGCCTTGGGCCCAACTACCTGGGTCTTCGACTTGAACCGTACAAACTAAAGCAAACTCTAGACAATTCTCGTGTATCATTTACCTTGAAACGCAATCTCAAGATCCTTCATGGTAGGTTTCGGTGTGCTTCTCAGCAAAGCGTACATCGACATTACGATGCCAGGTGTACAGAAACCACATTGCGAGCCGTGTGCTTTCGCTATACGTTCCTGCACTGGGTGAAGTTTCGTTCTAACACTCCCGATGCCCTCCACCGTGGTTATCGCCAAACCGTGCACAGCACAAATTGGTGTTAAACATGCGTTCGCCGCTAAATGACTGGTAGAAGTTGTTAAAGTAAACATTGAAGGAAAATATCTACGATCGAAAAATGCCCAGCAACTTGTCGATAAAATGTTTTGTCAAGGGTGGTTATTTATTTCGACGCGGTTTCAATTTTGCCAGAAATTTTATTTCAAAAGGATACGTAATAATCCCGGTCCTGTGGTCCAACTTTGAAATCATTACTGTGCAAGCTCCACAACCGCCCTCCGCGCATCCTAATTTCGTACCAGTTAAATGCACTGCAACGTTTTTGTCAAGGATTTATTTTGTTCGTTTTTTATAAGGATTATTTAACTCTGTAAATTGTGTATACAAAATGGCCCAGTAACTGTGGTATAGCCAGGGAGTTATTCTTTATAAAAAAAATAGTATAGTTAATAATAGCATAAATTCAGGACCCTTAGTGAAGGAATAAATTTTTACACGTAAAGTTTCGTTCCAAGAAAACAAACATTTATGTATTGCGTTTATGGATCAGTGTGTCTTTATTTTCTGATAAGTTGATAGAGACTGATAACGCAAATCTATAATAAAAGTATAAAAACATGAACAGACACAATAATCCGAATGAAGATTCGTTTAATTTTAGATTTCTTCGGTTTATTTTTTTAAAATGAATTTACCCCCTCTCTGTATTTATATCTTATCTTACGAAAGTACGCTTTCTGCATGGACTTCGAAACGATACAACGCGATAAATACCAAAGATCTATACCGTTTTATTCAAGGTTTGGAGTAAAAGTACCTTTCTAATGATTTTCAATCTAGGGATTTATATAATCTTGTTATATAATTGTAATCTTATCGCTAATTCGCATTCTGAAATTTGTAATCTTACTGTTTACTATAAAATAAGGATACATTTGTCCCTCAAGTACCATAACAATGTCCATTCCGGGTCGACATTGTTATCTATCACCTGAAATATTACCGAAGCATTTTAAATGAAAAATAAATACATGATCTCGTTCATAATTTCCAAAATTATTTAACACTGTGTGTTTACCTCCTTTCCGTTAACATAGAAAATTAATGTATATTCTATGTTGTTGGACATCGTAGATCCAGATCGAGCAGTAATTTCTCCTTCCCGGGTTGCTTCTTTCACTAATCGCGGTACACAAATCTATAAATGTAATACGAAAAATGAAATTGCTAGAAATATAAGCCAACGGTGGTGGATCTATAAGAGATCTATAAATATTAATGTTTTGTTCCGTCGCCCTCCCCTTACATCCGCCATTTTGGACCAGTAACATCTATGCTAATACTGTGGGGTTGTAAGATAACAAAAACACGGGTTGATATTTTAATAAATTATATATTTATTTTATTTCGAGTTTGTTATAATTTTCTTTATTCAATACTCAAGTATCGAAAAAGGAATTTAACAATTTCAGCGAACGATCGGTTGCAAGTTAATACTTGCACCGCGTAATGCTGAATTCTTCTGCACAGTGCTCGATTCTACTCGATATTACGTATATCCAGTAATTACGTAAAATACTATATGGTATACTTCGTCGAACGAGACGATACGGAAGATCAGTTAAAACAGTTATATTCTCTTTGCAGCTGGGCAGCCAGTAACTCAGAAACGGTCCTGTATGTGCTCGATGATATAAACCATTATCCCAATGATACGTACATCCATACGTACTTAATATGTACTGACAGTGCTATTGAGAAATATCTAACTCGATCATTTTGCAACGTATATTGCTTAAAGTGAATAACGATAAGAATGACCTATGCCTCCCACAAAGTTTCAAGTAAACAACTATAAGGATAATACAAAAAAAACAATATAATAATTCGTATAGTTTCGAACGAAACATATTAGCAACTTATTATATGCATTCTACATTTTATCGAAAGAAGTAAACACGTTATCGAGAATGAAAAATTTTATTTTATTATCACTTTCGGAGTAACAAACACATGATGTAAGAATTCCTTTTTGCGAAATGATTTTATTACTTTTTACGGCTGTGTTTCAAAGAACGTATCTCTGTCATTGTATTACTTTCCGTCATAAAAATAAATAAATTCTAAATGGATGATTAGTTGGACACTCACCGCTTTTCAAGGCAGTTTTAATCCGTTAGGGAGAACTCTCGCGTGAAGCTGGTTCGAACAACCGAGATCAACTGGCCACAATGGCTGCCCCTACCACATATTATTCTTCAAATATGTTGTAATTCATGCTTTCAAGTATAGTGATATATACAGGACGGCTCAAAATTAATGAGACAGATAGGATCAGGGGGATTCTATGGCTCGAGATAAGACGAAAATCAATGTGACGAATATGCAGTGGATGGGGGGCTTCGTTTCAGAGAAAAATTCATTCAAAAATCAGTCTACTTATCGCATATTATTGTTAAGAATTGCATAGGTATACGATAAATGCAATTAGCCTGAACTAATTCTATGTAGTATTCGTATTGCTAATTTTGGAGTACACTGTATACATATTTGATCAACATTGCGGATCTAAATCTTGTGTTAAGTCTTGGAGTTCCGTGTCAACAAGCAATTTAAAAGGTATTTAAAGGAAACAGGTAAGGGGACAATTATGAGTTATTTAGAAATGGTTTTATTCGAGTAACATTCTATTTTAATATGGTAACATTTGCTCTGGCAATGGACAACTTCTTTTCGATGAAACAATATTTCCCAGTCGTCACTCGTCACGCGACCAACAGTTGCGTCCGTTTGCCACGGATTCGTTCGTATGTGTTGAATGAATTCCTGTACAAATATCCATCTACTTACACGAATACAGACACAATAATATCAATTGGAAGGTATCTGTGTACACGGATAATAAAACGCATAATTACACGTAGCTTCAGAAGGTGGATATTTAATTTTCTAACACGATTTATGCACGTTGAAAACCGTAGCTCTACTTTAGACATTAGAATCATAGAAGTACTTATCATCAAATTCTCCAATGGAACATCTGTAGAGATCTCTTATCGGATCTATAAAATAGTTCGCATATTTTGTCATAGATAGTGCTGCGGTAGAGAAAACAGCGAGTGGAGTTACGAATCTATCACTTTTTAGTTTATGAATCAGCTGAGTTTGGCACTCATTCGTGAAAAAAACATACAGTGTTTTCGAGTGCGATTTTAGTTATCAAAGTGATATACGTTTGTTCAAAATGACTATTCTCAAAGAAAATGACAGTGTTCTCGTAGTTCTGGATAACGAACTTTCAAAGAATGATATCGTGGATTTTGTTAGTGCAATAAAAAAGCCTCTTGCGAACGCGGAGCAATTGATAATTATACCAACAAAGGAATTAGAAATACGTAAGTATATGAAACATCAGTGAGTCGGCACATCAGCGTATATATTCTTTTTTCGTAATATTCAACGCAAGACTTCCTATCAAATTCTAGAAAGTACACTTCGATGCTTATTACCGATATGTCTATGCGCATTGTACGAAGAAAATATTTCATTTTCATTTAATAAATTTACTCCAGGTATTAACAACGCATCTTCGTATGACACGATTATTTCTATTTTCAAGCAATCGTGTCCAAACTATAAAACGTTCTTAGAGAACTGTCTGAAAGCAATAAAACCAAAAGGCACATTAATTATTTACGAGTCGTTCCAACAAAATAAAAATGCTGATGTGCAGTCTGTGTATGACAGAAGAGTGTCAAATTTTAAACTGGCTGGGTTTAAAGTGAAATCACAAGATAATTCAGATACACAAGAGTTGAAAAATCATTTACTAGGTATATACAGTGACATTGATAATGTTTCTGAAATAATAGCAGAGAAACCATCTTTTGAAGTAAGTTGCATGATTCTCTTTTAACAAATCACTGTTGTCTATTGCATCATATTATGTATTTCAAATTCATGCAGGTCGGCTCGAGTATAGCACTTAACTTTGGAAAAGAGAAATCCAATGTGTGGAAATTAGATAGTGCTGATGATGAAGAACTGATCAATGAAGATGATCTGTTAGATGAAGTTGACATTCTAAAACCTAAAGTGTCTAGTTTAAGAGGTAAGTTAAATATTTTAATCTAGAACTACAGCTTGAGGCTCAAACAGTAAGTTGAATTGTATAAATACCAGTGCTAGAACTATTTGGATTTCGAATTTCGGATATCCGAATTTTTCCCCCAAAATTACTTAATTACTCAAAATTAAATATTTACCGAAGATCATTCTTCGTATTATTCGCGAAGTGTTTTTCGTCGAAATAACATTCAAAGTTTCTACCCTTAAATTTGAGTTATCGCCGTTAAAAAAATGTGTACACTATATTTTTAACCGAAATATTCGAAATATCAATGTTTGGAAATTTTTTAATTTTAGTTTGTAGTACAACGGGCAAACGAAAAGCATGCAAAGACTGTTCGTGCGGATTAGCCGAAGAATTAAATGGCAAAACTGTACAAGAAGAAACTGTAAAATCCTCGTGTGGAAGTGTACGTATAATCCACGCTTATATTTGTGAAAAATAAAATTAATTGAATATAAAATTATATGGAATTTTACGCGCTTTACAGTGCTACCTTGGCGATGCGTTTCGATGTGCCAGTTGCCCTTATCTCGGTATGCCGGCATTTAAGCCTGGAGAAAAAATAGTTCTACCCGATAGTCAATTAAAAGCAGAGTAAAACATTATTTGTAAGTTAAATACATATTTTTTTCGATTTTTCGGGTTACATTTTTGCATGTAATTGATATTTAAAAGAGTTTCTTTCTATTTTTGTTTAACACAACGGAAGAGTGGTGATAATAAACAAATGTACTTCTGCAATAAAAATGAAAAATAATTAGTAGTGCTTAAGTAATTTTATTTCATTTTTATCTGTATACAATAGTAATCAACATGTTAATCGTAATAGAATGATACAAAATATTTAAAATGTTCAGTACTTTTGGCGCGTCAGTAGAGTACATTTTATCTTTGAAATAATAAGACAATTTCACTTTCACGTAATCGGTACAACAATTAAGTACAAACAAGAAAAAATGGCGAAAAATATCAATTTACGTTTTATTATCCGCGGACTATCCATCGACACCTTGCTAGCAGGGAATATAAACCTTTCCCTATAAAGACACTATCCCATCTCTGAGGATCAGTGTTCGCGAAATGCTTATATTCCAAATATAATATACATGTATCACTTGTATCATTCTATTTAAACATATTTCGGAATTTAACAAATCATAGAAACAACTTATCCATACAACTGTGGCAACTAAAATCTAAAAGCAAAGATCGATCATTTTTTAAGTCATTTTCATCGAATACAGGAACAAAATAAATCGTCATGTACTGAATTTGCTTTGCCTTTACGATGACAGGAACGTTATGCCGTAATATAAGGACTAAAAGTACTTATTGAAAGCAACAGGCAATGAACATTATTTTAATCATTAGCTCATCTGTTTTTAGCGAAATAATGAATTGTTTGTACTATGAAAGAAACATGGTGTCCTATATTCAAGATTAAGTTTATAACAGTACACAGCTGCATCGTGTCATTGCACCATTAGTCCTACTAATTGTTTTCTCGATCTATTCATTTTACGTCTTTTATTTTATTTAGTGCATAAAAGGCACGTATTATTATTATACGTATGAAGTCGTATAAATTCAATCTCTAAGATTATTGTGAAATAATAATTCGTCAAAAACAATAACCATACTACAATTAATGTTAATAATGTTACATATGACTTTGGTACAAATTTCAGTTTATGTTTTACATAGCTCTATATCGTTAAGTAGCCACCCTTTGATAGTGAACAATTGTCTAAGCATAAAGAGAGCACTAGAAAGTACATTTTGACACATAAGTATTGGAAGCAGTGAAGTAAACAAAAAATATAACCTGACTATTTTTAAACGAAGTTTTCTTGGCCCTTCTATCATTTTCTACATAAGCTATTTTCACTTAAACGTATTTGTACTCTATTTCGAAAATCAAGAAATTACGAAGTGTCCTCCATTTTGCAACAAATTTTAAAACCGTGGTTATTGTACTTTCTATAAGTATAAACAATCATAATTTATACAAATGGCTCGATTTTTATCTAAAATTGTGTCTAATTTTCAGAAGTTCACAATTTATAGAAATTTCGTGAATTATATTGAATTTTTTCTATAAAAGAAGCTGCATTGTTTTCTATTATTTTACGCGCATGTGCACCCCTGCACAAATATATAAAATAACGCGGTACAAGATTTGTACAAATAGCTGCAGTTGTTTAGCAAACAATATCACTTACACAAGTTAAATATGAATCTAAATGTTTTAAGTCTGTCCAAATGACATTTATATGATTCTAAAGTACACAGAATTCTGGAACATATTATTTCTAAATGAATGTCTCCAAAACTACAGCAGTGTTTTGGCTTGAAATAAAACATTTACATTGGATGTATGAAAACGTACAAGAACAAATGCAAATATGTTCAATGAAATAAATCTTTGTGACAATGTAATGACTTAATATTCAACTGGTGAATTATCAAGCCCGATAAAGATCTTAAAAACATCCAATTTGTTTTTACAAACATAATAATGTTCACTATAATAATCTTGTGTTCTATTACTTTTTAGGAATGTACTGCATAGTACGTTGAGCAATTATTACGAGTCTAGCGATTAAGGCAGCTTTTATGTACCCTTCAATTGGAATCAGATTAATTTTTGGTGTTATTTGTTTTAAAACGGGTTTTATCACTATTAAATCAACTATAAAAAATACGTAAACGTGTTTAAGTAAACAACTGAGAGAACTCAGGAAATGTACGTTGAATACGTAAAAGATCTGTATGTTTTGTTTATATGTATACCATATTTTTATGTTACTTATCTATCGAGGCATTATAAAATGCCAAGGAACTTAACATTTCCCGTTCTTTTATGCAAAATATATAATTATATACCTTTAAAAAAAGATTCGTTACTTTCGAATAGCTATTTGAAATAATCATTATATGAACACAGCCCTACATATCATATGACGTAATAAGTCCTCGAGAAGACCTTTGGCTTTCGTTTTATGACTGTATCATTGTTACGATGTTTCTGCACTTTTTGGAAGTATGACTACTAAATTTAACAATAATACTACAATATGCTGTTGTGTTATGTACAGACGCGCAGTTTTGCGAGACTAAACTTTTCCACGGACTTTATGCGAAGCCCACTAGACCTTCGCTAGTTCTCACGTCGAAATATTAGTTTATGCTACCACGAATTCCCCTCCATGTTATCGAGCAAAGAATTCTTGTCCTCTTTCTTATTACTCTTACCTTCCGACGCCGGAGTACGTAAATTTGGTTCGAAACATGGCTGTAAAAAAAAAACATAAAATTTCGAACAGTAGAAATTTAATATATTTCACTCAGAAACTTTATGGGGTGCAAAGCGTAAATGAATTACAATGTCGTAATCGTCGTATCTGTAAAAATGTTACTATCGTGAGTAATGCAATGTGTCGCAGACGTGGGCAAACTTTTTCATTTGAAACGAACGTAAGAAATGACCATTTCAAAATTGCCCAGGCCTGTTACGTTTTACTTCGTAGGCGTGAGTTGTTTAATTTGTTACAGTCGGTGTGGCAAGCAGAATTTGAAAACATTACGCGCAGTTATTGCACATCGGAAGCGTATTATGTGCCCATACTTCTCATGCACACAAATGATTTTTATGCTTTAGGTGATATTTCACTCACTGTTTCACAGATATTCATGTTGCAGCAGTTCTCTATGGTTATTTCGCATTGATTGTCTGGTAATTGTGGCCTAGATGTGAGTGGCGTTACACCACCCTTGCTCACAACAAAACGCTTTCTAATTCGTGGTCGTCTTCGTAATTTATTTACGTAGTATGAAAGTACGATGGTTGTGAGTACAAATACAGCAGTGGATGCGCCCAAAATTAGTATCAACATTTTGTACTCGTTATTATCACGGACCAAGATCATTTGTGCATTTGTTTCGATAGTTTTTGGACACCTGTTCAGAGAAAGTAATATCCATGTATGTAAAGGCAACACCAATGCCCTTCAGCTAATTCGAGACCGAAAAATTGACACAGTTATTTTTTTAGAGAGAAGCACGACCACCAGGAGGAATTTATTTCAAGATCTATCGGGAAGAGTGCGATCAACATTCGTCGATCTCGAATAAGTTTTATTTAATATCGTAATTCGTAGAGTAAAAATATACCTGCAGTTGATCGTATGGACGACCCTACCAGGGACCAGCGCGATATATGCACAATAGATCTCGCAAGCTTTTGTGACATTGCTCAAACCCTCGCAACGCAAACCCCCAGAATATTTACATTTACAAGCTGGCTTCCCATTTTGGACGAAGCATTTACCATCGTGCAAGCAATAATCTTTGCACATATCTGTTTCACACCGTGGCCCACCAAATGTATCCTCGCATCTACACTCGGGAGATCCATGGCTATTTATACTACAGCTACCACGAAGGCAGTAATTGTGACAAAGTTCTGTCTCGCAATGCGCGCCAATGAACCTGAAAGATTTTTACGTTGAATATATTTTACAACGTTAAGTTCACGACATTGAATGGCCCGTTGTTACAAAGCGTTCCAACTCACCCCGGCTTGCAGTAGCAGTTATTACTGTTCAAGTATCTTTTCCCGTCATTCAGGCAGCGTTTGGAACTCTCGGTGGTCAATTCCGAGTCTTCCGTGCTGGTGGTTAAATTGTTGAACGACTCGACGGTGGTCGTTCGTACGGAGGTCGAGTTCGCGTAATTCGTTTTTCGTCTTATTTTCGCTAACGCTTCGCAATCGATCCTACCCGCGTTATCGCGTGCTATGATCCCGGCTGGATCAGCGTCCAGGTGCGTGTTGTACGTTTTAAATATCGTCGACGAGTTTCCGGATATCCTGGATTTTGGCGCCATCCAGATAGCACTGTATACCAAATCGATCCAGTATATCGTGTCGCGGTCCACGGTTAGGGCAACTGGTTGCTGGTGCTTGCCGCGAACCACCGATTCACGGTCGGTACCGTCGAGATTGCTACGCTCGACTTTCACGTGTATACCCTCGACGTCGTCGATCCAATAGAGCTTCTCTTCGGCATGATCTATAGCTACTGCTAGCGGCTCGTACAAATTTTCTTTAATAATAGTAATTCGATCGCTTCCGTCTAGATTCGAGCGCTCTATACTCGGATTCGTAACATTACTATTTACCCAGTATATGAGACTGGAAACAACGTACAATTTATCAGATATCCGCTTGTTTTGAATTTGATTTTTTATTATTTTTTTTTTTTTTTTTTTTTTTTAGCCCGTTTGGCACGATTTTTCTACTCGACGCGAACATTTAAATGGAATTAACAGCCTGGCAGAGATTCTGCTGTCGAGAATTTTATCGGCGACACCGGGTCTACGTAGACATAAATGGCACACCTGTTACATACGTCCAGAGCAATGCCGCGCGGACTACTCCCCGTTAAATTGTGGAGGAGGATGGGTTCCTCCGATTTCCCCTCTAATGGCACGTACATTTTCATAATCACTTCTTTCAAAGCGTCGAGCCAAATGAGATTTCGCGTCCTGGTGTCGAAGACGATCCCTAGGATGTGACTTCTGGTTTGTTCTGGAGGCAAGAAATGAATCGTTCGTTCGTTACGAATGCAGCCGCGAGTCCTTTCGCAAAAGAACGATGGAATTTCTACGGTGCAATGTTAACTTTTTCTGCGAACTGGCCGTTGTTGATACTAATAAAAGTTTCTCATCATTGCACTATTGGCAGTTTCTGTTTTGTTTTCAACGACCACAAAAGACACCGCTTAAGTGGAAATTTACATACGAGATAGTTCTTAGAAAAATATTTCAAACTCATTTTTTTATCCGCAATGATCTATAACTGGAAACTAATCAAGCAAACTAATGCCTACTGCAAAATTTTATATCGTTTACAGTATAAACCTATACTTGATTAATAGAAAACATAAATGAAGTAAAAATTTGTTCATTATTGGTTACATAAAAATTGTTAATTGCATATTAAAATTTAGCTCGTGTTAAATATTAGTCTGCCAAACACGCCTCCTGAGTACGAATGGATTTGTACAGGGTGTTCGACTACCCCTGGGAAAAATTTTAATGGGAGATTCTAGAAGCTAAAATGAGACAAAAATCAAGGATACTAATTTATTGATTGAGGCTTCGTTAAAAAGTTATAGCCAGACAGTATATTTTCGGTAAAGAATTTTTTTCTCGAAAGTGCGTAGAATTTCGGGGGTATGCCTATTGACTAAAAATGATTGTAATTGACCCCCGCAATTAAAAATAATTTTTCCAGAACGATTCGAAACGTTTTAATTTCACCGAAAAAATTTGTCCACCTACTCGAATTTTTTTCTCGAAAGTGGATAGGATTTCGAGGGTATGCCTATTGACCAAAAATGATTATAATTGCCCCCCGCAACCGAAAATAATTTTTCCCGTGAATGATTTGAAAATTTTTAATTTTTAATTTTAATTTACTACTGAAGGTTTGAACAGTCGTAATTTCAGTTTTTTAGGTTTTAGTTCAACCAGTATCTGTTATTAAAAGCATTATTCACAACTGTATACGTTTATGTGACATTCCACTTAAAAAAGCAGATGATCCTTACATTGTCCTACATAAAAGGGTCCCATAGACTCTTAGAATATCAGTTTGTCGATAGTACTAAGCAAATGTTAGGTTACTGACAATATATAGCTGTATTTTAACAACAATGGGGGGAAGGAGAAGTTTCGGAGGGATAAATAATACTTAATACTGGACCAGAGCCGAGAAAGATTGAGAAATACTGCTCTGTGTGGTCCGCTGTATACAATTATGATTGAACGGCAACTAAATGAAAAAACAAAAAAATAGAATTGACATTTAGTTGCATACGTACTTCTAAGCAATGGTCTTGACGTGAAGTTCTTGTTCGTCAGGTCATTACTGAACAAGGAAAAGTTACTGCGCGTATCACTGAAGTACATCGTGCGAGAAATATCATCGTACGCTAATGCCGTCAAAGATATAGCGTCTGCAATTCTGGCTTGTCCAGTTAGTGTTTGATTCCGTGAGAAAAATTCGATATCGCGTCCAATCACTACTGCTAAATCTGCAAAAGAAAAACAGAAAGGGGATACTTGAAAAAATTTGATTAATCTCGCGACGCAACCAGTAAGACGATACTGGTGACGCGTCGGCTTAAATTGTAAGCAATACGACATACAAACCGTGCCCGTGTCCAAATAATCTCTTTTTCTTTTCGCCCTATAAGGTGTCTACTCTCGGAATCGAAGAAAGAATCTACACGAATATACAGTTACAATGACCTTACTGTAACGTTAAACGAATACGGTTTGTTCGGGCTTGTAGCGTTCGCGAGACGCTCAAACCCATCGCTAGTCTTCAATTAGAGATACGAAAAAGTTTATTCCAATAATAGATAACGAAAAAACCAACGTTTAGCGTCTTACTCGCAACGTTTAGTTAATCGAAAAGTTCAATTTTACTTTGTTGATTCTAAAATATATCATTAAAAGCCATCGATGTCTTTTAAACAAAATATTTCTCACCGGTATTTATGTAACATTTTCGTTTTATTTTCAGTCACAGAAAATGCTGGCAAGAAGCACACGTACAGGGTGCATCAACTGAAAAGGAAACTGGTCTCCAAGTGACAAACACGGCGATGTGGATATTATGATTATGTCCAGGGTATCAATGAAGATATTTGCAATGTAATAGAACAAGATTCAAACGACCTTAAACGTGAAAACTTCACGAGGATATGCATACTTTTGCATACGTACTTATGATTAGGTAAACAGTTTTTTTTTTCTTCTATTGTACGTCGAATACTCAAGAACTGTTTGCATTAAAAGTTTGCGCTGCGTTCTGAATTTTTCCCCTACACTTCAAGATCCGATTAGATTTTCAGTTAATAAATATTGTACATTGCTATAAACGTAATAAAATGGTCTCTGTAAAGCCTCAATATTTTCGCTAAGAGAAAATATGTAATCTATTTTAAAATTAACAATTTAAAATAATTACAGGCATTAATAGAGAAAACGTGGCAATTATTTTCCGTCAACGAATGTAGAAAATACACGCTCTCTCCCTAGCCGATCAATATACGAAAATATTATGAAATGCTTATCAATGAAGATATTAGTTTCTTTATATAATAACTGTTCACTTGTATTTGTCATTTTTCCTGTAAATAGATTCTCGACTAACGGAAATTTGACTATTCCAGTTAAGTTATTCTCGTATAGCGTAAAGAAATCTTAACCCTATCGTACAAAATTAAACATTTACCACCCATTCGATTGCTTATTTTCGTTAGAACCCGAACTGTTTACTTACTTTTGTTGCATCTTGTATGCTTCTTCGTATTTTTACCCTAAATACGATGACCTCTTTCGTTTATTGAATAAAGATAAGTACGTGACTGTCGTTGAGATAGTATATATTTATTAAAACCACTTTCTTCGCCCAGTCTCTCGCGGGCTCTCATTAATGCACGATACGAAAGAATTGATCTGTTTCCATCGAGTCTATGTTTTACTTAACAATGCGTTTAATTTAATTTACATCCTAAAGACGACGATTTCTTTATTTATTGAATAACGATAGATACGTAACTGTCTACGAGATAATATTTATTTATAAAAAAACACTTTTTACGCCCAGCCACTCATTAATACACGATACGATACGATTGATCTGTTTCATCTGTTCCAAACGTGTTTTCGTTGTGTTCAACAATGCATTTAATTTCATTTATATCTTAAGTATATTTATTGAAAATTATCTACATTCTTTGTGTTTTTAACAATGCGTTTTCTGTTAAATTATTTATAATACTCGCACAAATTGATATCGAATCAACAAGACAATAACCCTATAGGGTCATTCCATGCGAAATCGGACACTTTTCGGAGTACGATGTCGGATTTTGTTCTACTTTGAATATGTTGTAGTCTTTAGTGATATATAAACGTATCTCGAAGGATTTTTAAAAATTTTAAAAATTGTTGGTTTTACATCTGTTTGAAATATAGAGCTCCCTTTTTCCAATAAATAATAGCTGCTAAAGTAAAGAAGTTATAAAAATGAAATTTTAGGTACTTGTAGCAGACCCATGGGAGTATCAAATAAAAATTATTTCAATTAATAAAAAAATTTTTTTGACTATTTATTTTGCAATTGTTTACAACAAATGTCATTTTTTTATAGCGGGGACATATTTAAAAATCTGAAAAAAAAATGGGCATATAGTCCTGTTTGTCCCCTTCACGGGCCAAGTTTTAAAAATACGGACACTTTAAAATTGGCCTTATAAAAATTAATTGAATGGAATGCTGCGTCGCGCCGTGGCACGCTGGCTCGACCGGCCAAGTCGCGCAGTGCCTGCAACCGCCAAGAAACTTTCCAGCAAGAAACATTCGGAATTCTTGCTGGAAAGGCGTGGACTGGCTACAACAATCTGTGGAACACGCAATTTTCACTTATTTACACCAACTAAAGAAGTAACGCATTTAACTGCCCGAATTTATTCAGACAGTGACAAATCAACAGTTGTAGCTGTTATGAGGTAATTAATTTTATAACAAACAATTTAATCCGGTAGATGATCATTGGTACAATCCAACCATTATTTCTTAACCAGAACCTAATCCCATCACATCCCATCATATCCTATCCCACTAGAACATTGAACATCCTATCCCATTGAATATTGACAACTTAAATGTGTATAATGCTAAGTGTCATTGACAAAGAGTGAGTGTCCAATAACTGTTACATTTTCCAGCAGTCCAACACCCTATGTATAACAATAGCAGGTATAGCCGCTTGGCGGTTGCAGGCACTGCGCGACTTGGCCGGTCGAGCCAACATGTCACGACGCGACGCAGCGTTCCATTCAATTAATTTTTATAAGGCCAATTTTAAAGTGTCCGTATTTTTAAAACTTGGTCCGTGAAGGGGACAAACAGGACTATATGCCCATTTTTTTCAGATTTTTAAATATTTCCCCGCTATAAAAAAATGACATTTGTTGTAAACAATTGCAAAATAAATAGTTAAACAAATTTTTTTTTAATTGAAATAATTTTTATTTTATACTCCCATGGGTCTGCTACAAGTACCTAAAATTTCATTTTTATAACTTCCTTACTTTAGCAGCTATTATTTATTGAAAAAAAGTGAGCTGTATATTTCAAACAGATGTAAAACCAACAATTTTTAAAATTTTTAAAAATCCTTCGAGATACGTTTATATATCACTAAAGACTACAACATATTCAAAGTAGAACAAAATCCGACATGGTACTCCGAAAAGTGTCCGATTTCGCATGGAATGACCCTATAGTTTGTCACGTATATTGTTCAAGTCTCGATGTAGCCTATTTTATTAACTATGCAGACCAGTTAATTAAAACGTATGAATATTGGATGTGCAACTGTCAGATTAGAAAACGAAGATATATTTTATGAACCGATTAGGCCATCACTCAAACTTTTAATACGCGCAGTTGTACGTAATAAACAAAATCTATCTATTAAATAATACAATGTATCGTTGACTAACATTTTGCGGGAGATACATATTCTGCAAAATTACACGTGTTTTAAAAATAATTTAAGCACAGGCCTCAAATTTCCTACTGGTCTCCTGATACTGGTTAGAAGAACAAAACAATGGAAAAAGACTCAGGGACTTCGGTGACCCAATATTTTTTAAATATATTATTAGTTCTCTTATTCAATATTAAGTTAGAAATATTTCGTTTCAGTAATTTATAATGAGGACCTAGAACTTGAGATTGAAAATTTCAGACAATTTATTGTTTTATTTTTGTGTACTCGTCACGACTATTATCCACCCTTAATTGAATATCTGTTACTAACTTCCTAGTTGTGAATCAATGCATGCAACAAAACACGTGATATTTCCGTACGACAATTACGAGTTAAATGTCATATTGTACCATATTTATTGGTTTTTTGTTTTGTTTAACAGTGATCGTCTTGGTCTCATGAATGGTAGATTAATGTTCGCGCATTACACCTTATCTATTCACACTTCTGGCAACGTATGTATCACCCCTTCTTCCAAATGTCTCATGAACTAGATTTATGTTACACGTCTCTCCTTTGGTGTCAACGCTTATTGCTTGTTATTGTTTCGCACGAAATCATTTCCATTCATTGGTAAATTCGAGGTAAAAAAGAAATGAAGTAAAAATACCACGGTATTGCGCTAAAACCATTATCAACGAGATACGTTTGTTTCGTGAAAATGTCCTGCGAGCAAAATGCAGAATTACACGAACAGAGTGCACAATTTCAGTGGAAACCGCATAAATATTTTCATTACTTATAGATAGGTGGGCACAGTGATATACATAAATTTTCACAAAGGTCATATTTGTCAAGATTATTCTCGTCGAAGTATGGGGGTAAGATGCTTGAAAAATTCGTACTTAAGGAAACTTTAAATAAAAAACATATGGTCGTATAAAACAAATATTTGATAACCCCGGAAAAATAATATCGAGGAAAATATTGTTCCTATCAACGTGTTTGTCACTTCCAGCAGTGTTTTCATAAGACTATAAATAACGGAGATATTTAGGCGTCCTCATTAATAGCTCACTATGTACATAGATGATTATGTAAATTATTGTGCTAGTACATGTGTCCTGAAAGGGACATTCTGTATATTAATACTTAAAGAACATTATTATATTGGTTTTAGAGTGAAACTTTCAGATAAAAATTATAAAGATAAACCGAATAAGTTAGTTACGCCACTCATCGCTGTACAATGTTTCGCAAAAACGAAACCTTGTTACATAAAGAAAAAAAAATGAATTCATACCACGCTAAGAATGTTTTCCGCGTATAGATTGGCACGAAACATCGAAATCAATTTTATTGTATCGCGAATATCAGTGTTATCTTAATCCATAGAATTAAGGAGTGTATCTGACGGGGGATCGAAAATCGAAGGTCGGAACCTAAATGTCGGTCTAATTCTTCAATTAAAATTGTACACGTACATGTAACAAAACAAGATAACGCAAGAGTGTTAAAATTATGAACGAAAATCGTAATCGCGCGAGACCGTTGTTACGTCGTTTATTTTGTAATCGCCGGGTGCAAGAAAAATAGTAACTGTCGCCAAGGAAATGCCCCGATTTATTAACAGTTATTGCGATCACGTGTTGATAAATCGGATCGAAAGTCGAAGATTATCTAATTTTTCATTCCAGTCCGATTGACCTAACCAGGAAAACGTAAATGCGCAATGAGTTACTAAGGAATAATTTGCTGTTTTTGCGATCGTCGAATGTTGAGTAACTTACGCACGCATATTGACGGAACAAGTTTCGTTGACAATATTCAAACGAGAAACGCTATTGGAATATTCGTTTTCCCCCCTCTGCGAGAATTTACGTAGACAATTATGACGTTTTTACTCCCCGCTTAAATATTCCACCTGTTAACGTATCTTTAAACTATATTTATGTAGTCTCTTTCTAGAAGTTTATAGGCAATTGATCCACGCAAGAAAAATGTAAATATATCATTAACGAATAGAATAATGCATAACGGCTGTGAAAGAAATTATATTAATTATAACTATGTAACAGATGTAAGATATGTGACTAATAAAATGGCGCAGATAATAATGAATGTACTATTACTTAAGCTAATTTGTCACGTTTAAATTATTATTGCATTTGATCCTCCGTAATGTTGTACTTTTAATATCTTCAGATATCTAACCCTTTATCGTATCTTTTCGGGCCACAAAATATAATCCAGTAATAAAGGTATTAAAAGCAAAAACGTTTTTATTTGTTCAAACAACTCCCCCGCGAAGAATTTGCTTTTCCTTCAAACGGAAGATACACAGCACTTGTTGCTAAGTGCATCCCTTCCACTTATGTTTGCGAATAAGACACGCGCTCCAGGTCACCACGCTACGAGGACGCCCTTGAAAGTAACAAAAATTGAATTATGTATTTTAACAATTCACCGTCCATGTAATTTTACCATGAAATACTTTATTACAATTTCATATTCCTTGGCAATGAGATCAATATTGGTATAGCGTCTAAATTATCTTGCAATTTCATAACTTATTATCGTACTACTTTATGACACTTATTGTACGATCGTAAGTCTGAATGGATCAATTATAAAATGCGTTCTAATCTGTATTGTTATATAATAATTATCGATTGCAGTTTTCTTATCGGTTAGACACATATTAATACGTAACCAATTACAATGATTTTACTACTTCATTGTGTTCGATAGTATTTACTACGCAATCACAGCGCCAGTAAATCTATTCTTTATTTCAAAATCGATGACCCATGTTGCTTTTATGCCAACTTACACGGATATTGTTCGGACAATAACGGTTTAATTTGGTTTATATGGAAGAGGTATAAAAATTTTGAAATTGATATGCAGTGCTTACTCATCTTCGTGCTTTTTTGCTATTCTGATTTCGATACTATCTTCGCGACTCTGTGTATTACTTTTCGCAGGTCTCGCATAATTCGCTCGACGGCTTGTATTTCGTGCTACGGTTGCGGGATAAAAAAAAAAAATGCTACTCATAGCATATCAACGTGGAACATTCTTGTCGTGTCTTGATTGTTATTTCCAATAATCGTATACGCGCGAGTTAGCTAATAAGATGGAAACACGTTCGATAAAACAGATCGAGAACTACGTGGCGACCTATTTCGACCGTTAGTTTTAGTTGAAATGTTTCTGGCATCTAAGTGGCCAGAACGAATTAATTGACCACGTTCGTCATTACGCTCAACCGTTTAAGTACACACGGTATACGAACTTTTATAATCAATTTACATTATCAAACACGTTTCGCTTAAGTGCAACAAAATTATAAATGCATCCGTTGTAAATGTTACGTAACCTAGTTTTGTTTTTACACCTCTGCCTAAGCAACGATTACTTAGATCCACTATCGGTGTGCAGCGAAGGCACTCGCTTCAAACGCGTTTCCAACTTTCTCGTGATACGTATAGATATACGAAAGAAAAGGATTATGTCCGAAAATCATGTAAAACTATTCGTACGGACTTCGATTCGCAAACGCGTAGGTGTGACACGATACATTTCGTAAGAGAAAAAAAAAAACATGACCGTAGTTAAGGTCACGACACCGAGCAACCTGCATTATGCCCTACTAAAACGTTTCTCTGTTTCTTATACGCGCCGGATCTTCGTGCATGACTTAAAAAGACGCCGGCGAACGACAGTTTCTCAGCTTTATTCGTGGACGCGGGGTAGAGTCGATCGGGACTATTTTCAATCGATTAATTACATTTTCGAAACCGCCGCTGTCCCTTTTTCGTTGACAGTGTGTGTGCGCGCACGTAGATACGGTCGCACAAACAGCTTGACATTCATTACATAAACAGGTGTAAGGACAAGTGCCGTTTCGACTTGATATCGTATTAATATAGATTACGATTGTCCCATCGTACGTTACAATGGGAATAAAAGGTCGGTTTCATTCACCTTTCAACCGTGTTTCGTCTTTCTACTTGGTAAAGCGGTCTACGAAAAGTGGCGTACGTGACGAGCGAAGCCGCGTGAATGGAGTCAGTACTCTCGCACGACCCGCAACGCGGTAGTATTGATACGACCTCGTGTATATCGTTGTATCGTTGTTATTACGTTAACACCCGCTTTCCCGTCACATACGATCATTCGATCGATCATCGATTTACTTACCCCACGATCTGGCGTCCGTATTAATTGCGAGAATTCCGAGAACTATCGTTAAAGTTACGACGACGTATTCACGGGATGTCATGGTGTGCGTTCATTTGTTAGGCGATAGACAAGCCTGGAAATGTCTTTTAAGACACAACCGCTGCCAGGAAACGATATGGATTGAACACCGGCCTAATTTCTTTCAGTCTTCCTCTCTCACTGTCGTTCGAAAGATACACTACCACGCATCCTCACGCTACGGCGGCTGTGCGCAAACTGAGAACTCATGACTCCGGTGTGACGGTAAAAGCCGCGGCGCGACCAATGGCGTAGAGTTTCTCTTTCGCGTTCGAACGCGTTCTAAATACCTGTGAAAATGTTATGTTTCAAGTAATACGGACAGAATTGACAAAAGTACGAAGAAAAATACTGTCACCGGGCATATCGTACAAGTCCTTTGTACAAAACTCTCGTATTAACAGAAATATTTAACTTTGATTTTGTTTAATATTCGATGCAATTTAACGACAAGTTTTATATATTTAAGTTTTTCCTTTGCAAAAAATTATCAAATTTTCCCTTGTTACCTTTGCGAACGTAACGGAATCTTAAATATGATTTAGCTCATTATATTTTTCGTACCCGATGAATTGATCGCATTATCGCAGTGCTAGACATTACATGTCATATTTATCGCGTGTTATAAAACATTGTTCAGCTGATTTTGAAGTTGATAAACACTTAGTAGTCGTAACAAATTTTTAGCGGCGTTAAGATTGCTGAGTAAGTGTACTTCAGTATTTGATTCAAATAACATAGATTCAAGTAAAGTTTGCGCGGTTTTTCTATGTTCGCCTCGCCATCTTCTTTTTATGCTCATCAAATATATGTGAAAAAAAAAATACGTAAGCACGCGTTGCTTTATGTTGCGTTGTGTTGCAGATTTTTGTGTTCAAACTTAATTTTTGAATAAAAGAGATTTTGAATAAAGAATAAATATTGATTACCCATTGCTTGATAAATAATAAAAATGTCGTTCGTTCGAATAAAGTCGTTAGTTATATTGGTTATCTATTATTTGAAGTACCTTTCGCTCATCTGTGCTTGCACGAGTGCTAAGTAATCATGTCGGTTACACAATGCATAAACTAGCGATAATGGATTTATTTAAAAACAATGATTGATAATAGCGATTCCCCGATAACGTTCTGTTATCTGATAGTAAATTAAATTTGTTATTGCGATAGGCATTGTTACTATAATTAACCCTACTCCAGGTGATTTTACTCACTATAATTTTGTCAATAATAAATTTAATTGTGTCGATATGATCTACTAAAGAGAATGTAACAAAATGTTATTGGAAGCTTAAACAAATTGGCAAGTATATACTTACATTCTTTTATATTATTTTCAAATTGTTGTCCTCAGGGTGAAGATTCAAACCTCGCGCGTAAATTAGTGACGCCATCTCCGGAGCTAGAACCGCAACTATTGATGTGCACAATGCGGTGTACGTGTCCATCTTGTCTGTACTTTGTTTATGATTTACCCCCGTCCGTGCCAGGTACTGGCTTCTAATTTGTTTACAATTAGAAGAAAATAAAATAAACAAACGTATATATCACATCATATCACGAATGGAATAATTTCCAACAACACTAGCAAGCTCTGGATACGCAGTAGATAGAACGTTTTTACAAGTGTATGTAAAGTACACGTTAATAAAAAGAATACTTGACCCCCGATAAAGATCCTTTGAATATTTATTTCTTGCTTTCGTGTACCAACGTTACGTTCTTATTCGGTTCGATAAAAATCGTAAGAAATTCGCGTGGAAAGGAGGGATGAGTTTCGCCAGGTGATCGTTCGCAAACGCGCCACCGCGGAGTAGGTGACCAACGACGGAGAACAAAAGCAGTAGGGCAATTGAAATTTTTATCCCGGTCGATACGCGAAACGCGATGAAAAAAAGCACTCGAACGAAAGATTTTCGTTCCAACGTGAACGAGACCGCTCCGGAGACGTGATTCGGTTCTGTGGACGACGTGGACCTTGCAGGTTAATAGGAAAATCGCTAGCGGGAAAGCGCGCGCTTAGCGGGAAATATTCTCTGTGGCCCCGGAGCGACGACGCCACGTACTAGATGGTATATTATTGATCAATAAGAGAGGCTAACATGGATGACCCGTGCCGGCAGAGGCGGCCGCTACTTCCTTCGTATTTTAACGCCACGCGCCTGTATCGCGAGAAACTGATCACGGAACCGTGCCCCGGGGATCTCGGTGTTCTTCCGGTTGTCTGCGACAACGTGCAAGCGTGTTTGCGGGACGAGAATCACCGACCGTATGTGAAACGCGCCAATCTCGTACTTCCGTGGGAATACGCGAATCGAGGGAGACAGAGGGAGTAACGTAAGAGTAACGGCTGGATAGCAAGAGCACGAGATAGGCCGCGGGTGAAAAAGGGTGAGAGTGGGAGCAAGAGGGACGGAGAGAGGGAGGGAAAGGGAAAGATAGAGCCGTGAAGGGCGACGGAGACAGGACTAAAGGGAGAAAGACAAGTGTGAGCGACATGTGCCTGTGTTGAGAATTCTGTCCACGATAGTGCGGCGGCCGAGGGTGCGCCGAGAGAGAAGATCGGTTATTTTTTCCTCTCCTATATCCGATACTCTCTCGTCGCTTACACGGGACTATCGATGCAGACCTTACGGAAGAAAAACAGTCCGCGCAAGTGTAAGTAAAAAACCACCCCCTACGAAATTGCACAATTTCCATGGATACGTCAGAACGTGCTTTGTCAACGTTGTATTGTGGCTCGGTGATATCGTTGTGATTCGAATCGGCAGGTATGCGTCACGACCGTGGAACATTCTCCAAGTTTCGTGCGATTTATTAATGTTCTGGAAGCATGACGTTGTGATACCACCCTGTAGATCGGTTATAGGGAGCCTCGGAATATGGCTTCCCTTCTTTAAGAGGGAGAAAGACGACTGTCGGCCAATTCGAATCCAACCGAACGATCCGATACGCGATGGATGTATGGATTGTGATGCAAGTGAAAGAGTGAAACGAACGAAAGCGAGTAGAGTTTTTTTTGGGTAGAGAGAGGACTGTCAATTTGCGATTTTCGCGCGAGCTTTCGTAGCACTTGCATCGTACCGACCGCGATAGTGCAGTCTGCTTATGTGGGTGTCCGTATGCGCTTTTGCCACCAGATGGATGCACCGACCACTTCGTCGTACGTGCATTGTAAACGGTGTATAAGGGTAGACCGAGAGCATTCGATGGAACTTTAGCCTTCCTGAAAGTTCTATTTTGTTCTTTACGTTCGATCTTTCCCAAAAGAACATTGAATCTTCTTATTTTGTTATTGATCTCTACCGTTCGTATCATATCCAACGCTAACGATTTAGAAACAAATAAGATAGCAGTGCTTTTAGCGATAAGAATTAAAGCAAACAGATTCAGCCAAATAAGATTAGGGTGCAAACTTTAATAGAGAGGACCACGTGTTTGATATGCCTGTTTCGGATCCAGTACCGTTTGATGAAAAAGACGATCGATACCTCCAAAACCAGTTTTACGTTTCTTCCCTTGCATCATGGAAATGTCTTTTTTCAAATCATCTTTCTATGTTAATGTGCCTAGCTAAGGACAGGGCCGGAACAAAATTTCCGAGGCCCGGGGAACTTATAAACTTTTCTAAAAGGGAAAACGTTCAACAAACTTCATATATTTCTAGCTCCATGGAGAAAAACAATTTTATTTGTCGAAACATTTGGAAATTTAACCACTCTGGGCAAAAATTATGGTGCACGATAAGGGGGGCGATACGTAGTCCACGAGTTCACCCTCGAATAGCTCAATCACACCAAATTATCCCCTCTGAGACTGTGTAACTTTTATTCTAAAAACTTTTTGATGTAATCGACAGCTTGAAAGTTATCGAAGGGGATCGATTTGAATGACTCATCGCGTGCACCCTGAATTTTCATTGTTTTACGCAACGAAGCGGTTGTTGTGACAGCGCGGGAGCAAAGGAAGATGGTGTGCGAAGGAAAAAGCTCGTACGGAGGCGATCGAGCTTAAGCAGAGAAATTGTCGGGGGCGGAGGGGCGGCGGGGGGAGGGGAAGGGAGGGCATGAATTGGTTATCCGGATAGAGTCTCAAGTATCGACAGTTGGCGTTCTCCACTCGAGGCGTACGAGGACGTTCAAACAAATGTGCCGGTGTGGTCGTGACTATTAAAGTCGCGAGGGGTCGAGAAAAGTGTTCGCGAAGCGGCTTCTGGTACCGGGAGATTTCAACAAATTGCCCGTGGCAAAGACAAAGCGTGCTGGCTCGGCGCTGTCCGACGCACGGAAGAATAGAGAACTAACAACCGGTCGGCTGAAACGGGCAACCACCGAGCAGATTATCACGGCGACGACGAGTACGTTCGATCTTCGAACGGTTAAATTTTTTAATGCGTCCCGACGGGCAAAGGATCGAATTTGCCCTCGTTACGCGCTTCGAAAGGGGTACGAGGGGGTACGAGGGCGACGGAAAAGCGAAACAAATTGCTTGTCTCGAGGACGCTCGAAAGGATCCTCGTTTCACGTTTTTCACGGGTAGGCAAATTGATCGTATGGCCGATCAATGTTAGCTCAAGAGGCTCGAAATCGTCGTCGTTGGATCGCTTCGAGACCCCCCGCAGCCACCTACCCGATAATTCAATGCGATTCTGCTTCGCGCGAGTTTGAATAAGGCCACACGTTGGGATATTAAAACGAGCATCTAAGGTTGGCCGCACACGGATGCGTCCCAGCATGCCTCGCATTTCGCTTTACGCTTCGTCTATCGTGTCGCGTAGATATTATTAATTATTGGTGCTCCTCCATTCGATTGCTATTGTGAATCGAATGCAGAGGGGTTTCCGGTAATCGGTGGTACAAATAAAATTGTTGAAATGGCTGTCTATTTTATATTCCTATAGATACATTGCTTACACTCTGCATTATTTAGTGTGATAAATTGCATAAAATAAAGAAACTGCACAAGAACGCTGTCTTTTATTTTTCGTTGGTATATCTTGGGTTGCCTCGGATGGAAGTTAACGCGTTCACTGTCCGGTCTCTTGGCGGCGTATCCGAAACCGTAGCGCAATGACCCATATACGGATCATGGACAGTGAACGGCAATGTTTAAGGATGAAATAAATTAGCTTCATTGGCAATATCGCAGTGGTAACGCGGCGATCGAATCGTGTTTTTCAGTCAAGTACGAACCAACCCGATTTCTTGGGGAGGGTATGTCGTTCAAGGCAAAGTTGATTGGCATATTGGAAGTATCGGAAGCGAGCGGGGATCGGATGTGTCAAGCAGCTTTGGCGGACCTGAAGATGGCGATTCGGGCTGCCGGTGAACACAAACAACGAATCACCATCCAGGTCAGCATCGATGGAGTACGCTTGCGGGACGAAAAGTCTGGGGTAAAAGCTCTAATAGCTTTTCTATTAAAGTCAATGCAATTCCCGTGTTTTATTTTATTTCCCGAGCCCGAAATTGACCAGCGAGATCGCGACAACCGTTTCTGGAGTTGATTTCCCCTTTTATTCACAGTTCCATAAATTTCCAACGAGTTTCCAACCGGCGAAAACACTTCTACAGTCACTTTTGATTCGCGATCTCTCGTAGACAATTTTCTATTTGCGTTCTGTTCACTTTGATCGAAAGGAAAGTTTTGTTTAATTGTATTGGCTTGCACGATTCAACAAAATTTCGATGATAGTGTTTGATCGTTTCCTCAGGTCTGTCTGTATCACCATCCTGTGCATAAGATATCGTTCATCGCGCAGGATATTTGCGATTCGAGGGCTTTTGGATATATTTTCGGCTCTCCGGATACTGGGCATCGTTTCTTCGGCATAAAAACGGACAAAGCTGCGAGCCAAGTAAGATGTACCCGTTAATCCACGTTGAAATTGATTTTTACATTACAAACGCAGCGTACAATTGGCTGAATGTAAATCGAAAACTATTTATTTTGAGTTTGGAACGTAAGTTGAAAAACAAGTGGCTCTGCTACTATTTATCAATAAATAATTTCATGTTTGCAAAAGAGTTGAAGATTAGTACTAACAATATTCATTGAAACATCGTGTTTAGGATTTTGTGATCATTTAAAATAGAATAAATATCTTCGACTCTTCTGTAAACATCAAGATATCTTTCCTGTGTTGAATGATTGCAAAATCTTATACACATTGTTTATTACTAGTCGATCTTTTACTAAACATTTTTAATCACAAAGCTGGTGTTACGTAACGAAACAAATAGAAATCTAAACAGGTAAATAGCGCTAAATATCTGAATCTATTTTATTACGAAATTTTGGCTTCATAATCAAGGCTCTGGACAACGCCGCTAGAGGGTTATTTGCTTAAACCAGTTCTCACGGGTTCATTAAGCAAATGACTCTGTTATACAGGAGTCGATCGAAACATTTAATGACATTTGTGGTAAGGTCTGTTGGATCAGTTTCACTGATGAGTTCGCCAGTAACCTAGGATGGAAACGAGTTTTTTATTGGGAACCATCTGTTTCCATATAAGACTCCTTTTAAGATCCTCTAAAAGGCACCGATACGTTGCATTATCTTAGATTAATGGTCCATACTCCTTCTCCCTTACTTTTAAAACCGTTTAAACGCTCTGATCTAAATCTGATCCAAAAGTCGTCGCGTATTTTGTCTTTCGGAAAAAAGGAAGCGTCCGCGTTTTAATTCGTTGGGGAATTCGTTGGTGCGCGGTTACGATTCGTAAACGCGATCGAAGCGTGTGATTTGTCGAGAACGGTTCGCTTTGGAGAAGCGAGGGGGTCTAAAATGATATTTGTCCAATCCGGGGAAGCAATATCGACCTCGGTGGCTCCGTAATTTCGGAGGGGCATGTAAATAATTGCATTATACGATTCAGCCTACTACTCCACCGATACGCTGCGGGAGATTGTTGTTCGATTATACGCGATTCCCTCCGTGCTCGTTCAAAGAGATTGCAATTTCTTCAACTTCAGCTCCCTTCGACCAACGCTTTTGCATGCGCCATTCTCTAATTTTTTTTGTCTCGAGTGCACGAAACACCGATTCCCAAACTATTTTCAAATATATGAATTCTCTAACAGCACGCACGCATATTGTTTGTCAACGGAGATGGGCGAAACTCTAAATAAAAATTACAATTAAATTACATTTACATTGTATGTCTTTTATCAGTCATTTATTGATCGAACAAAATTCTGCCCATCTTTGGAGCGTCGCTTTTCTATTCGTTATTATTGTGTTTGCGTCCATTTGTTTTCTTGAATGCTTATGAACAGTTTACGAAGAACAGTCTGACCACAAAATGTTGCTTGAAAAATTGCAATGCAAATTATTGATGTCTAATCGAGGTTGTTTATTACACTAGCTGGTAGACAGTTATGGCCTAATCTTTTTTATACAGAATCGTGAATGGGTACCGTGAGTTAATATTCTTAGTTATGCTTAAACACCCCAGGAAGATCAGAGATTCTTTCCTCTACTTAGATCGCTATTACACGCCTTAGATTTTGAGATACTTTACTAGCAGAATACGTAAACTGGCTAATAATTTTAGTATAAACTCACATTTCGATCTAGTGTGAGTAGAATCATCGCCTCAGATTTAATTACAGAGCTAGCCGCTAAATAAACTATCAAAATTCCGACGCAATACCTTTGCAATATTCTTTAGCACTACGCATACTAACTGAACAAAAATGTACTTACATTCATCCACCATTCTGATTATGTATAGTCGTGCAAGAACAGGTCTGTCTCTTTTTATCATTCAATTTGACAAAAAAACCATTGCAGGCGGCGATAGCTATGAACGACTTGTTTCAAGTGGTCTTCGAGCTGAAAAAGAAAGAAATCGAGCTGACGAAACAACACTTGGAGCAAAATGCCATAGGCGTTATTAAGTTACACAATCGTGGCATTTTCACCGAACCTACACCCGACACCAAAGTAAATTCTATAATATAACGATGCTATAATATACCATATCGAATAAAACATTTATAATAACCAATAAAATATTTTCTTTAATAGGGTGCAGCAGGAACCGAGTCCTCTCTTCATCGAGCAAAGAACACGAATCCGGAGGTAGACATACAACCTGAGAAAAGAAACGAATGTCAAAGTGGTGTAATAGCGGATTTATTAGACTTACAATTTGAACTAAATTCTCTACAGCAAGGAATCCATCACATGGAGAAAAATACCCCCGAGAATCCACCGCCATCCGCGGACAGTCTTTTCGAACCTGATCCGTTCGGTGATTCGTTCGCGAACATGAAGGTAAACCAACACTTCCAATATTCTCAAACTAAACTTTAACTACAGCGTTTAACATCTTTGTTCGATTACAGTTGGAAGACACTGTGCGGCCTATCCTGCCGCCACCGCCATCAGGCCCAAAAAGAGGTCACTTGGACCGACAGCAAACGATTCCAGGTCCCCAATCGTCGGTCACGTCAAGCCCAGCGACGACTGTAACCAGCAAGACGCCACCGCTTCAAAGTTCGGTTCAATGGTTCGACAAGGACGCGGAGACTCTTTTCAGCGATAGCGAGGTCACCAGTTCAGAAAAGAGTACCATTGTCAAAAAAGAACAAGATGAGGTAAACGTCACAACACGCTAATAACAAGACCTTTGGAACACCCAGATAGGGAAGCTAAACGCTGCTAACACAACTTGAAAACGTAATTTGTTGCAGACTCAGGCCAGAAGCCCGCAGATAGACGTCTTCACGGAATTGGATCCGCTGGGTACCGGCCTGATAAAGCCGTACGTGGACAAGAAGGATTTCTTCCAGCATTTAAAAAATCCCCCGAAAAAGGTGCTGAAGGATCTGGTATCCACCAGCTCGGACACGTTCCCCACGAACTTCAGCGGCGGCTCGGATTCCGCGGAGTCGGAGACCCAGGCGCGAAACGACTTGCTGTCGAAGGACAATCAGTTCGACGACAGCAACTTCGCGAATTTCGACAGGTTCGACGAGATCGAGGCGGTTCAGCCGGCCGTCGAGCGGGCCGATTCCTCGCGGAAGACGGAGGCTGGGCCAAAGGCTCATCATCAGCCGCTATCCGTGTCCCTGCCGCCCGAGGAACCGACTGGTTCGACCTCCCCGGCGGTTTCAACCGTATCCGGAGGCGCTACCTTGCTCAGTCGAATGGACAAAGACTCCTCCGACTACGTGCACGGGTTGGTTCCACTTCCAAGTCCCATGAAGTCCGGGCGCAAGAAGGACTTCGACATCGACTTGCCTGCTGGCAAAGTACAGCCCATAGACAAGCCGTTTATGGTCGATTTCACAACGACCACCGAGTCGCCGGCGTCCCCGTTAAAGTCTTGTTCTTCCGACGCGAATTCGCGACTCTCCAGCTCGTCTGCGGAGCTGGAGCTGGTCCCCGAGCCTCCCCCGCGAGGGGTAGCCAACATCCTGATCAATCCGCCGCCTCTGCCCCCGAAGAAGCAGGGCGGCAGGGGCGGCGTCAAGCCTCCGCCGCGGCCACCGCACACAGAGGGCTACTTTCACTACGATTTCCCTGAACGCGAGCATCCCACGCCCGTCGTAGCCAAGGACAGGAGCAAGAGTCCATTAAAGGACACGAAGAGCCACTTCGACGACAACTTTAGCCCGCCCCTTCAGCTGTCCACCAAATCGGATTTAATCGGTTCGATGACCACGTCGACCTTTGAGGATTCCTTCAGATCTATGATGCCTACGACGAACCTGTCCACGTTCTTCACGTCTACCAACGTATCCACCACGGCGAAAAAGGCGAAGCCTTCGTTGGATATTACACTGAGTCAGTTGACGTCCTCGAACCTGAACGAATTAGCCAATAGTCTCGGGATGACTGTTCAGGAGCTGACGAGTTTAACGCTTCAGCAACTCACGGACTGCTTGGCGACCCTGTCCACCAAAGATGCTTCCACGAACGAAATGGAGGAAGTCACGAGACAGGAATTCGCTACCGTGAAGCAACAGCCTGATATTAGTCAATCGAAATCCTACGCAGAGTCCCAAGCCTTCGTCAAAGTGAACACCGACCAGGAACCCAAATGCGACGCTACTTACGACAAGTACGCGGTCTTTCGGGAACTGTTGGAACTGGAACAGATGAAGAGAAGCGAGGAAGACGCGATGCAAGACACGGTCGAAGAGGAGGCGACCGACGTGATGCAAGACGCGGTCGAAGAGGAGGTGTCGGACGCGATGAAGGAAACGTTCGAAACTGCTTCGGAGCCCGACGACGACAGCAAATCGGAAACCACAGTTTCCTTGGTGAATCTTACGGTGAAGCTTCCTCCAAGTAGCGAAGATTTAACAACGGAGGAGTTACCCAACGTAAACTTCGAGGAAATAAACGAGCCATCCTCGAGCTCCGCGAGCGAGAAGGCCCAGTCGGTGGAAACGGAAGCCACCGCCAGAATGTCGATGACGGAAGCGGAAATCAGGACCGAATTCGGGACGAAGCAAAGCACCGAGGCCGAGGAGGAGCCCGAGAGGCGAGATTCGATGGCGGACGACGAAGAAACGGAAGCTCCTGAGAAAATCAGCGACACTAATGAGGACCTGGACAAGCCAGCGACGGTGAGCAACGCGGAAGAGACTAATGGCTTGGCGTCGGAGAAGACGAGAGTCAAGTCCTCGATATCGACGTCCAGCGACAGGTACGCTGCTCTACGCGAGATTTTAGGAGAACCGGAACCGTTGCCCAAGCAAACGGAGGAGGACGCGTCCAACTCCGCCCAAGTGTCACCTGTGCTTTCTTCCTCAACCCAGTCGAAGGGCATAGCGGAAGTGGAGCTGCTCAATCTATTCTCCGACACGCCGCCATCGTCATCCAGCCCGAAGAAACAGATTAAAAAGGAGGAAGAATCGAAATCAATGGGCATGGACATCTTCGAGGAGATAAAGATGCTGAGCACCGGGACGCACGCCGCGAAAGGAACCACATCCACGATTTCGGAGGACATATTCTGCCCGTTCACGGAGCTGAAACAGGAAACGGATGATAACAAGGACGACGGAAACTGGGCGAAGTTCGACACGGGTCTGTTCGTGTCTGACAGACCGTCTTGCGAGGGCACACCTTCGATCAGCGGCACCTCGCCGTGGTCTCCGGACGGTAAAGAGTTCCACAAGGACGTGGTGTTCAGGGCCAGCGTGTATCGTCACTCTGGTGACAGCGACAACGAATGGAAGGACGAGGAGGAGAGCGAGGAGAGCAACGGAAGGTCGCGCGGGGGCGGTGGATTCTGGTGCAGGCGTCATCCTCGCTTCGACGCGTCCGCGTTCGGCGACAGATCGTTCTACGAGGAAGCCGGACCCGTTCCCGACAACAAGAGGGACAGAAGCTTCCGTGACAGGATGGTGAAGAAGTCCCGCGAGGCGTCGTGGATCAAAAATCACAATTATAGACCGCGCGACCCGACCTGGCACGACGAGAGCCAATGGGAGGAGTCCAGAAACTATCCCCATCGCAAGATGCAGTACAAGGACGAGGAGGACCAATACGACGCGCACTGGAAATGCAGATCGCAGCCTCAACATTGGAACTGGCCGCACGAGCCGTTCTACGACGAGGAGAGGAAGAGGAAGCTGACCCTATGGACCAAGGAGGATAGATTCGGTAGTCAAGAGAGCATGGGTTACGACGAGGAGGACAGACGACACAGGAGGAAGTACGAAAGGAGAAGGTGGGAGGAGGACGCTAGATTCTGGAACAGGAGGACAGCGGGTCCGCCAGATTTCGATTATCCTACCAGGGAGAGCTATTACTACTATCGAGAGGGCAGAGAGAGACCACACGACTATGCAGCCGCCTGGGACGAAGAGTATGCCACCGATAGACCCGGAGACGACATGCCTAAATACTCCTGCAGGAGGAGATACTGGCCCAAGAGGCCCAACAGCGCGAACGAGGGCCGCAACACCGACGTTGTCTACACGGAATCGCGCGGCAAGTTCGGCACGTCCAGATCCGAGTGCAGCGACAACGACTCCGACCCCTATCTACGACCCTCTCAGCGCTCGAGGAGTCGCGAGAGCTACTGGGGCAGCGACCAGGAATACGACAGCTGGGCAGAGAGGCCCTACTGGTCGGAGGGTCCAGACTCCAAGAGCGAGAGCCTTCATCGCAAACGAGTACCCAGGCACAAGCCACGAAATCCGCACGCCAAGACTCAGAGTCCCTTCGAAGACGACTTTGCCCAAAGCGTGGAGCACGTGGACCCCTCCGCCGTCGAGTCTCTGGCCACGGTCGAACCCCGGGTCCGTACAGACACAAACGATCAGAAACCACCCCCGTCTAGTCCCTCCTCTAGCAAGAGGTACGCCAAGGACCTCCCCAGGAAAGAGATCCAGAGGGAGTACAGCAAGAGATCCAGCTACTTCGAGGATGATCTCACGCCCACGGCGAGCGCCTCCAGCGACGCGTCAGACCGCCAGAGGCTACCCTCCGACCTCAAAGCAACACCGGAAGAGCTACCCTGCGATACCAAGGAGGGCCATCAAGCAGCCGATGGTTTCGTGTCGGAGGACAGCGGTCGCGACTCTTTCTTCAATGGCGATCTCAGATACGACGACGACGCGTTCGCGTTCAAGTCCGAGATGGAGGACAACGTGCCGGAGCATCGCGCCACGACGCTACCCCTGAAGAACCATAGCCGCCAGGGCAAGTACAGTACCGGGAACAACAATAACAAGTCGCGGGGCGACCAGTACATCAGGAAGTCCGAGTCGGTGAACATATTCGTCAGGGAGAACGACCCCTTCGACGACGACGACTTCTTTAATTGATAAGTCGTCCTTCGAGCGTTCGAATCGCACGGTGCTGGACATTGCGACATCAGCCGATCGGGTGGACCTTGAAATGGTCGATTTTTGTTCAGATTATCCCCAGTATGCTCCCGATGCTAAATTTATCGATGTTCGTCGAGGTTTGCTAACGTATCTTGGAATGTTTGAGGGTGGTCGCTGAATTGGTTGACCGTTCAAGGACACGGAGGGAAGGAACAGAGATTTCAGTCAAGGATAAAGATGGTCCTCGATCGACCAACCGATTTGGTGATCGTTCCAGAAGCAACTTCACCACGTGACATTCTATACTTATTTCTAATTATGTTCGATCGTCTGATGCTAACGAGGTTCGTACTGCAACTCAAGGGAATCATTGTCCAAGATATCGACCACCAGGAGGTATGGTCATCATACAGAAGCTAGTCATTGTTTTAATAAATTTGTACATAATGTTATCGGTGTTAGCATAAAATTGATTCGGTGATAGAAGTCTGTATATGTGTGTGCAGTTTATATGACACTTGTTTACACAGTAACTTCGGCGCGGTACTTTAAATTTGTAATCATGGTTCCACCGACTATAGTTATCTCGTGTTTTTTGCTTTATTCGTTTGATACGATGATGCTAGTCATATCGAGACACGTTAGGATAATTGTAAGATAACAGGCACGATTTCTGATCGATTGAAACTGTTGGGAGGACTATTGTTGCTTCCGGGTGTGAGTCGCGTCATTTTGATTATTTATTTATTCTAACTTCGATCACTTACGAGATATTTGCTTGGACGTTCATGGACTGTTCGATATTTATTTTATTCTGCTTCCTATTACTTTTACTGCCATACTTTAAGCCCTTATAGCCGCTACACACCCTCTTTGTCCCTATTGACTATCGACCCTAGTTTTAAGCTATTGAGTTGATCGATTGAAACCGAAGTCGATTATGCTTCAAGCGATAATCGTAAGTGTTGCTATCGATGTTGTTGACGCGACAAATTATTTGTAATATCCGTTTTTAACGATGTATTTAAACTATTTTCGTTGGTCTAATGTCTGCTAGTGAGAATACAATAACTCTAGTTAATAAACACTGTTGCTGAGAACGTTGGAAAAGGACGCGACTCGTACCCGAAAATGTCCAACACCTTTTGACTCAGCGAGAACTCGATTCGTGAAAGCCTGAACGATCTCATTTGATAGGTATTGTTTGGAACGTCGAAGAATCAAAATGTGACTTTTATACACTTTTGACTGAAACGATCTTCGTTCGCGCGAAACTATACCATATTGAAGACGGCATAGATAGACTCAATTGTCGATTCCTTTCGGACGTTTCTCTTCGGAGCGAGACGGGAAAGTCGGTCCAGCTAGTCTTGTAAAGTCTGTTTATTTGTAAAAAAAAAAAACACAAGAAGAGAAAACGAAAAAAGGAAATCGTATCAAGTCGCGACACGACATTACATTATTTATTTGTTTGCCAGCAACAGCACGCTGCGTTTACCTTTTAGCTTATGTTATTTATGTATAGATATGCGCATCGACATCTCGTGATGAATGTACTTAAACGCTGTAGCAGGCGAATTATTTATTATCATTTAAATAGTGACTCTAACTGTGTTAAAAACTAGTCAGAATTGTACTGACAATAATATACAGTCCCAATACAAATACAATTACCGACTGTGAAGAGATGAATTTCTGTTTAATCACTTACGAGCTGCGGTTTAATGTCGTTGTGTAACCCATGTTATAAATTCGCTATTTTTTCTCTATCAATTATCTCTATGAAACTTTCGAGCTCGAGGAAAATGTCTCGAATTTAACGTACATGAATAAAGGACACGTATAGAGTAAATTATTTAAAAACTCGCTGTTATAACACTGTGCTTGATAACTAAAAAAAAATTGCACGTTAAAAAGAAAAGTATATCGAAATCAATCGTGATATTTGCCAACGAGGCACGTCGAATAAATGAAAAGTTCTATACTTCGATGGGCAGCACGATAAAGATGATACAAATAACGTAAACGCGATTTAACGAATTATAATTGCTTTTGTTTCACCAGTGAGCGAGACTCGCTGTAATTAGCGATCGATTCAACCGCGTATCCGTCTCGATATAAGTGATTAGCGGAAATGAAAATCCACGGCTACAACGAGGAACAGAAACCACGAGACCCAGGGCGATCAGGAATATGCATGGACGGTGTAATAAAAATTTACAATGTTTACAATAACTCCGTATCTCTGTTATTAATAAAAAATGTCTCCAGCGTGACGCAATCCGCGATTTTAGTGTGCTGTAATCGTGAAACTTGTAATTTTTACCATGACCGTAACGATTTATTCCATGTTGCACATTTGTGTCACCCTCCCAAGTGAAGATGAGTCGCGTTACAGTAAAACGGGAACCGTTCGAATGAATTTTCACTCTAAAAACGTTGGAACAGAATAAAGTTCTTTTGGAAGAAAACATTATTTGTGTGCATGAACGTATCCTCGATGCCATCCGGTTCACCGCCATTATGGATCCACGGAGGTAAGTATGATTCGGTTCGATCTAATTTTTCTTTCTATTCTTTAGATTGTAATCTTTCGTAGCATTTTATTTAAAATAACTAACTACTGTAGAGAAGTCAGCATTAAAAATAGCGAGTCTACTGTTTGAAACTGCGAGAGATGGTCTTCTAAACTCGAACGTGGTAGTTTTGATTTAAAGAATAAACTTTGGGTGACCTCCTGTCGTTGATAATTATATTCTGATCAATCTACGAATTTCGACGGACGAGATTACAAAATCGGAAAATCGCCATTTTTCTCTAGAGGGAGGATTATGCAGCCGCCTAAAAATCGTCAGAGATATACAGATGCCAATGAAGATTATTCTGACTATTCATAAATATATTTAAAAATCGTCACGAAAAGGAATTAATCTGCAGACACGACTGTTTGCATTTTTAATTATCGAGATCTATTTACTGGTTGGAAACGACTATATTTGACCGGGGTGAATTGTTCGAAGGACTTCTTGTGCGCCCTTTGAATGCAACCCCGCGTGTGCACCTTCGGCTTGAAAAAAGCGGAAGAGCTTCGCGTCGCGAAGACGCGGACTCGCCATAGTCTTTGTTGCGATCGGTGGCAGCAGCGGCGGCACCTCCACCCTATCGGAGTGGTTAGATCCCCCGGTTAGCGTGTTCCCCGTTCCTTGATTTGACCGAGCACAATGCACAATAAAAGAGCATTAGATCGTCGGCTTTGTCGAGCGGTTGCACGACTTCTCGTAACAATGGCGTGGCCCCCACTCGGCCAAAGTACTCGAAACACCTGGCAAACAAGGAAACAATGCGCACGAGCCGCACTTCGACGGGATTTCGCGCATTTGGGGTGCGCGCATGCTAACAAATTATCACCCTCCACCTCCACCCTCTCCCCCCCCTCCTGTCACTTTTCTCTCGTTTTCTCATTCCGTCTGCTTCCTCTGTTCGTGCCCGTAAACCGACCAAATACTTTCCTTGCTCTAGCGATTACGCAGCAACCTCGTGTCAGCCAGGTTTAACGACCGCCTCTCGAAATCCCAGCAGTCTCCCATATCTTCTCCTTCGAACTCTGCGCCCCGTAAACACAACCCCTGCAAACTACGAGCACAGACGTTAAGATCGTCGATCTCTCTGTTTTTTACGATCGTTGTAAATGTTTTTTTCGAGTTTGCTCTCGATAGTTTTCCCCGGTTTTGTTCGAGACGCGTTAGAGCCACCCTTATTCGCCGTTGTGCCAGCAGTTGACCCAGCTACGTCGCACGAAAGGTGACGCAACGAGAGCGAGAAGAAGGGGGAGAAGGAAGAAAATCAACCCGCATGTGCTCGGACGCACTCGAAAACGAAAAGTACTTTTGGACCGAGAGCGATATGGAGGCGGTGTACGTCGGAGAACGTGAAGAGTGTACCGAGGGTGCGTGAACTATGAAATGCACCGGCAGTACACGGTCCCTCTTCCGACGAATGTAGCTCTGAAAAGCCACGAGAAATGTTTGTAATTGGGATCGTTGGCCCGTCGCGCTCTCGTTTCTTCGTCCGCGGGTGCTACGCCAATGCGCGTTCAGACAGGCTTCTACGCTTATTTCTTTCGCGCGTATGTTTGGATCAAATTCATACTGAATTTTCCAACGATGGAATCTGGTGGGTCTTCTCAAACTTGATCTAATAATCGCGACATCTTCGTTCCTGTTGTACCATTCTAGACTTTCTTGCGACTTCCTGTTGGACACCATAGGCGTCGAATGTAAAATTTATCCATCAATTGATCCTATTTTCTTTTTTCAATTAGCGTCGTTCTTTTCTCTGCTTTTGTTATACTTTTGTCTCTGGACAGAGAAGATCGATGAATTACGGTGCTCCGAAATTCCTTTACACACGTTTCAGCCAGTCGTTTTTACTCGTCGACATCGTTAACGTCACGATCGCGAAACGCCGTTGTACGCGTGCACGCCAACGGGAGTCTATCAATATTTCATAAGCCTGGTAAAAAGAGACGAGTGTTTACAGCACGCTAAGCGACAAATCCTCGATCTTGTTCGCCGGTTAGCCGTAAGTGTCTTCCCCGTCGGGCGATTTGCATCGAATTGAATTTCAAATTCGTCGGCGCTCTTGTGGCCGCAGTCTCGAGCATCCCAGGACCCTCGTGCTCCCGATCCGCGCGAAATGACATTATTATTAATATAGTCTCGCGATCCCACGACGTATCGACGAGCTTCCATAAAGCTTGCAACCCTCGCGTGAATGCATTTCTTCAATCTAAAATCGATTTCACCATTGAATCACAGTCGAACCTTGATAATTAAGACCTCAAAGAAAGGGAAGAAATTTTCCTAATTATAGGGGGGTTCGATAAAGAAAATTCGAACAAAATCTTTGTCTTGCAGAGCTTTAGTTTTCACTTATTTACGTGTAAAAAATTATTTTACTCGACTGAGCACGCTGCCCTCCGTCTACAGCCACGTGCACCCTGAAGAAAGGGTTGTGAAATTCGAACGATCCAAAAAAAATGGCAAGAAACGCGTCGCTGGTTTCGTCGGTGGTATCAAGCGTGGCCCGGATTACTCGTGCACGCGTCACAGAGAAAATCCCGCGGTTCTTATCCTCGCGAGGGAAGCGTTTGTTCGTCGTCTCTGAATCGTGTGGGTAAATGGCTGTTCTCTTTAACCGCGTACACGACGAGGAGAGCTCGTCGCGAGAAAAAAAGAGTCGTACCGGGAGTGGGGAGAGAAAGAACGAAGGAGGCTCGTCTCGCGAAAAAAAGAGAGGATCAGAGAGTTCTCGAGCCGAACGACGAAGGTGAAAAGAACGACGAGGGTGTACGGGGGGAGCGGTCGGCGGGAAAAAAGGTAGAGTCACCGGCGGGAAAAACGGTGTCTTGGAAAAGGTGCAAAGCCGACAGTATTCTTTGTAGCAGGGGGATATTCGCCTTGTGTGCCGAAGACCTCTCGCACTTCTTTACCTTTTCGCCGTTACCAACCCTCCTACCCGACACCGCCCGCCCCCTCCTCGCCTCTTACTTCTTCGTCGACGTCCACTTCTTTCTCGCTCGACGATTTCCACTTCCTTGCTTCGCCGCCGTCTCTGTTCGCCTTCGCGGGCTAAACGATTACAGCGCAACTACCGCAGCGTCGAATGCTGGCCGACGTTGGTAGTAGTGGCGACTTACTTCTCCGCCCACGCCTGGGGATCCCTTGCTCGACGGGGCACTTCTGCCACGAGATATTTACCAACATCCAAGATGGCGGGCATAATCTTCCCGGGCTTTTGGCCGTAAGTCAGCGAGTCATCCACGCAGCCAGTCCCTTTTTCGCCCGTAAACACTTTCGTCGTTCTCGTTTTACTGACTCCGCCCTTTCGTCGTCTTTCGACGCCCGTCTTGACGTCGCAGGACACGGCTTCGCGGCTTCTCCCGGCTACGGCGTTAACCGGGAACCGCCACAAACGGCGGCTCCTTTCCGCGCGGGATCGATCACAAGGCCGGTCGTGCTTCTTGCGGCTTCCTCGAGGCGTACGCAGCCAGCCGTGTAACTCCAAGAAATTTTCACGGAAACTTGCTGACGGACGCGCCTCGTCCCAGTCTTCGGGATAAGAGACGCGTCCTTTAGGAATAACGCGTACCGATGGCGGACAGAAACATGTCCATACGTTTCTAAACCGGGTCTGGAACTATCAAAATAACTCGCTTTTCAGATATACGACACATTCTATGAAGAACCAGAATATCTTAATAAGCAGAAACATTTCGAATGGTGGACGTTGAAGATTGCACTATGAATGTCCTCGAAGTCTCAGATTAAACCATCTTTAAGCGTATACAAAGGGGAATCCCGTTGAATAGAGCATGATAAAATTGTTAAAATTATTCTATACAAAGTCATTAGACGAATCTCTGATGATCTCGACCAGCGTGTAAGGAGGAAATCGTGAAAGGTGGGCGCGTAATAAGTACAAGAGCTTCGCGGAAGGTCCTCGAGATTTATTCGAAAGGAGATCGAGAGGGAAGAAATCAGGAGAGGTAAATACGTGTCGTGAGAGTCCAGGATAAGAAGCAATCGAATCGAATAGTGGAACTCGTGGAATCCGCAATCCGTCGCGAAGTGAATGGCGAACGCCTAAGGGTTCTATAGCAGGGTATACCGCCGTCTATTTCTCCCTTCGACGACCTAACCTAACCTAGCCGGAACCTTGGATTAAAGGCAGTAATCGCTGAATCGGCAAAAGACACGGAGACGGAGGTGAAAAGAAAGATTGTTGATCTTTCGGCGTTCTTCGTACCTCCAATACTTGCCGAAGGAAGAGTCAAGGAAATCTATCAAGGCGGGAGGAGTATCTCCGATAAACGGAGCTTTCTTCGACTAGCTAAACGAATATCATTTGCAACGGATACAGTTTACTATGCTGCTCTCCTTCCATCGAAACCCGCTCGACGAACTATAACGAAATACCATTTTCGTACTTCGAATATCTCTTTTCATTAAAGTCGCAACGTTCTGTTCTTGAACACTCACTACAAAAATCATTTCTGAATTAGTTTTAAAAGTTTGATGACTTACATTAAGGAGTTCTGCACGGACTGGGGGATGCGTCTGATAACGGACGGACTATTTCCCCTGATTCTCTTGTATCTTCTCCCTCCAATCCTGAAACAGATATATGGTTTTAAAATCTGTATCGAAATTTCGTCCACTGTGTTCTGAATAAAATTGGAAAATAATAAACCCGGAAAGTCTGAACAAGTGGTCTTGCCCTATGGGGATGGATTTTCATCGGGGTTTTTCGGAATTCGTGGGAGCCGCGCGACGGAGAAAGCCAGCAATAACATGATGCTTCGATACACAATGAATATCGGCGTAAATAAATATAACGCGGAGGGGAAGGAAGGGAAAGGAAGAAAGAAGAGCAAAGCGGTGCTGGTAGTCACGGAAGTGCCTCGCTGGTACGCGGAGTAAGTGCAATAATACCAGATTATTTGCATCGCAAAGCCGTGCGTATGGGTAAACACAATATTCGCTCTCTGCTCGGCTCTGTGAACCGATAGTGCGCTCAGGTAGATACGCATCCGTCTATACCACTCCACCAGTATACCCGTCTCTCTCGTTCTACAGCGATCTCGTTCGCTCTCATTCATCGTTCTCTCTTCCGTTCACCCTCTATTATCGTCCCCTCTTTCTCACCCTTTCATCGTATCCCGTCTATCATTATACCCTGCACCCTTCTCTTTCCACCCACGCTTTTCGATCTCTCTCCGCCTTCGTAACCCCTCCCTCACGCTTCGATGCTGTCTCTATTTCTCTTCCTCTTTCTCTATGTACCGCCGCGGCGTAATACAGATTCTATTTGAGCTGCCTGAGGGAAGTTAACTCGTGATGCGTGCTGCTCGGCTCGCTCTGTTGGCGATACCACCGGATCCCATCGTTCTCCATTTCGACGCTGAAAATCCAAGGACCCCGGGTCTCGAGGACTCGTTTCCGGCCGAACGTTGCGCTCCTAATTACGAGAAACCGTGGCACGCCGCGGACAGAAGTCACTCCGGGGGTAGCGCCAAGAATAATTCACCGATTCGAGCGATCAACCAGGGAAATGAATATGGAGTACCCATACACCCACTCTGGGGGTGCAAAAGTAACGGAAGATGCTCGTAAACGTCCGTTTGCACGGCCTGTTGAGAAAATAACTTCGATTATTAAGTAATTCTTATAGTCCATATCATATAGAATGTTGCAGACTGCTTGTAACTTCGGTATAAACAATTCCATTTGTTCCATAACTTCCAGTTGGAAGCATAGACATTAATAGCGACTATTATTCTAAGACAAAATGGTTTATTGAGTTGGTCCCGTGAATGCTTCCGTATTGAAATTTCACAAAGAATTTTTTTTTTATTATACAATAAAACGCAAGTAGAGCGTAAAAGTTACCGAGGCAGCGAAATATTGATTTTCGTAACATTCGAGTAGGATCTAGTAATTGAGGTTAAGTAGAAACTGCAAGGAGATTTGGGGCAAAAGTTTTGCATTCGGTTAACTCAACTGCTCCTTAATTACGGTTAATACGATCGTTCCTGCAAAATTCTGTCAAGAGGAATATAGTAATTGGTGCGTTATTGGTCGAGTTATCGTTGATGCTAATAATAGTTAAAATTTGGTAATTTATCCATTGATTAATTTTAGTAGATTCACGTTCTAAATCAAACGACAAGGAATTGAATCGATAGGTATGTATCGTTTAAATTAATCGTCTGCCAAACCGATCACGTATTTCTTATGTATTCGATTCCACCGAGCGGTTATCCGATAGTTATCGAAATAGCTGCATTTGTCTCTCTATTTCCGATAATCAATATTCTATAATCGTCGATTCGCATAAGGCATCAGTTTAAGAGGCAAATTACAAACATAATATTGTATCGTTGGGTGCCTGATCAATGTCGAGTATATCACATTCCTCCATCCCTTATTTAAAGACGTCTCTGTCTCAGGACTCTAAAATACGAGATTAGAAAAACCGATATATGTTTCATAATAACTAAGACTTCTTCATTTTGAGTTACAAATCCTCGACAAAATTGTTACACGAATTGTTGTCAGATTAGACATAGTCTGGACAAAATGACGCGATGTTTTAACATTTGTTTGCGGTATTTCTTATTTAATAATCATCCCTAAACTTGAAGAGAACCAGCTCGACGCATCTTATTCGAACTACCATTCTTGTCGGTGGTCGAAAAGACGCGCCATTCCTTAACTCGAACGGCTATGTTGAGAACCGCAAATCTATAGACCGGTATCACGGAAACGAGTATCGATACAGCCTCGGCTTCATACGTTCTATTAGTATGTAACGCCTGGTCCCTTTACCGCGCCGCTCAAAGCAAAGCAGCCCCCGGAGTGTTACAATTTCGCCCTCTCTACCCCAGTCTGCCTCGAAAGTCCCTTTATCTACCCCGCTATTTTCCTAACTCCGACGTCCCCTCCGGGGGTTTTTCCTCGTTGGTGGTGACGACAACGATTCCTCTTCTCCCGAAAGAGGATGGAAGGGAGCCTCTGTTGCCCGGCTATGGTGGGGATACCCCGCCACCCCTACAGTAGGGGTTGAAATGCCCGCCCATCGGTCCGCCCACGTAGGGCCAAAGCAGTCACTTCGAATCAATTCGACCCACGATTTCGCCTCGTAGACGGTCCTCCAGGGTGCTGGCACACTCGCATTCGCGCTTCATAACCTTCGACCGCATTTCGCGCACCTAACCTAGCGCGATCGAGACCTCGAGGTCTATGCATATCCGTCGGGACGACGGACAAACAGTGGATAAACAGTAAAATCGCTAGTTCTCTCGTTCTTCCCATCGTGGTAAGTGACTTGACGAACCGACAGTCGAGAGTTTAAGGACACGTGAGGCCGGAAGACGTCGCCGGGTCAGCCGCCGAGGTTCGCGCGCGAATCACCGATCGCTGGAGGAGCTCGTCGTTCGGAAGACTCGTCGGAGACGCGAGATCGATAAGCCTCGAGCATGAGCGAATATCGTGACGGGTCCACGTAGATCCAGACAGACGACTGGTGAACGATAAAGCCGCCTCGAGCGCGTCACTAAGAGCGACCGCGGCACCGACATCCTTGAGACGCAGCGTCGTTGCTCCGCGAGCGAGCGGATGACGGCGAACAGGCGAAGAAAAAATCATCGTTATCGTTGTGGAAACAAACTATTAGCGTAAGATAGCATTTCGTCGGAGCTGGCGCGCGACAGTTGCTCCGGTAAAATATGTCGGAAGAGGAACGTTCACGGTGCATCGCGACCGTTCAGTGACTCGCTACCGACGGTCGTTCGTATCCGACGAGCATTGTTCTTTCAGCTGTAGCCGCACGACGGACGCACATGTTCACAGAATCCGGAGCAGAACCGTGGAACCGACGTGAAATGACGTGGACCAACGGCGACCGCGAACAGGTCCGCCAAGACCACGGGCATTAATTCCCGACGATCGACGCGTGAATGTGCCCGTCAAGTAATCACGATGGAACCGCGTGGGATGATGATGTCGAACCTGTCGTGCGACGGCTGCGCGGACAGCGATCGGGATTCCGACAGCAGCAGCATGATCGTGGACCCGGTGAGTCTCGACAAGAACGATTTGTCGCCGTCCCAGTCGTCGTCGAGTCCCATAATACCGAGCTCCCCCGTGCCGCCCACGTCCTCGTCGCGAAACCGCGGCGGTAGTCGTAGTAAGAAGAATTACACGATGATGTCGACGAACGGTCAACAAAAGGCAGCGTCGCCCGGGCAGGCCACGTCCTACGGAAACGAAAAGATGTCCTCGTCCCTGATCAAGCCGCCGTACTCCTACATAGCCCTGATCACGATGGCCATACTCCAATCGCCCCAGAAGAAGCTCACCCTGAGCGGGATCTGCGAGTTCATAATGTCGCGGTTCCCCTACTACCACGACAAGTTCCCCGCCTGGCAAAACTCCATACGACACAACCTGTCCCTGAACGACTGCTTCATCAAGATACCGCGCGAGCCCGGGAACCCCGGCAAAGGCAACTACTGGACGCTGGACCCTCTGGCCGAGGACATGTTCGACAACGGGAGCTTCCTGCGGCGCAGGAAGAGGTACAAGAGGCCACCGCCGCATTATGTACTCCGCGACAGAGCGATCATGGCCACGTTCGCCATCTGCGGCGACCGAGGACCGTGCCCCGGCGGCGGCGGTGGGCATCCCGGCGCTCTGACTTATCCCAGCGCCGCCTACCTGTCCCCGCCGCCCGGTCTGCCGTTGCTCGACTTCTCTCCTTCGACCTTGGAGGCCCTCAAACTCGGCGGGTTCCTGGAACCGCCGCCGCCGCTGTACAAACCCGTGCCCATCACCGCCCCGCCGATCAGGCAGCTGGACCCGACGCCCACGAGGACCAGCACGATACCAACGAGTCATCCTCCGGTCGACAAGAAGAGGAACTTCAGTATCGACGCTCTGATCGGCAAGCAGGCAGCCAGCGACCAGAACTGCGGCGGTTTGTTGGATCTCAGTCCGACGGAACATCGGGAGATCAGAAGTCAAGCGTCCGCTTTCTCGCCTCTGATCTAGAGGACCCGGAGGATCGAGACTCTCTCGGTTCGATCTCGAAGGTCCGACGGACCGCTTTGCCCCCGAGAGCCTCTCGTACGCGAACGCTCGGACGTTCAGTCGTCGTTGGCTGAGATCTGGTCCGAGAGTATTTGTTCTTTTCTCTTCTAGCGAGGCGAGGACGATTCGAGGCGTATCTTTAGCGGGATGCAACGCTACATTGTCTCCGAATTTCCCTAATTTAACGCGCTGGCGGTGAGGGTTGTCGATAGCCTGATCACTAGCTACGAATCGTAGAAGCAAATCGCGAGTGACACGATGGAAAGTGAAACGATCTCAGAGGACCGGTACGGTACCAATAGAAGAACTCGCTACGAAGCTAAGATTCATACGTACGACTTGTGTAAAAAGACGCGGATGGGAGAATCGAATAATTGTAAAAAAAAGTGTAGTGCAATAGTGTAGTGATTTGTTTAACGTAACGAAAGCGTCCCTCCGCTCCGCTGACGATCGAAAGATTCTTAGTGACTGTACGAACTTGAGTAGTGATGAGACCAATCCAATGACATAGTCGATACGTATCGATTCCCAAGCAATGTGTCGAGGTATCGATATAAGTAAAATGCACTTGACGTTTCTTCTAGTATCGATACTATTCAAGCATCATCGAGGCCTCGACGAGACGATTGTGTAGGCGTCAGAGTTGCCGATCATTTGAAAGCTAGTCTTCAGCCTGTAAAGAAAAAAAACTGATTAGAATTCAAACTTAATAACAAGAATCTTTGAAAAATGCTATTGAAAAAGACTTTATATCAATTAAACCGAGGACTGATTAAAAAGTTAGTAGTATTTGAATAAAATTCATCGCATTGAGACTTCTAAATTCGAAAGATCTTTAAAAGTAACTGATACTTTGCGCGCGTTGAAAATGCAGTTAAACGGATATCGAAGATGACGCGATTGATAAGTATCGATACGGCAGTAATATGTCTCGATAAGTCTGAAACGATTTGAAGACGTTCCTCGGAGATTCGATACGGGAGTATCAATGCGAAACGTAAATGTATCGATGGTATCAAATCAGTCCCATCACTACACTTGATTCTTTCCGAGCGAAATTCGATGTTCCATTTTTCCCCAGTCTTTCGTTCTCGCGTTCTACTCACTTGGTCCAAGAAGCCGCCCCCGCAGCACGTTTGGCTCGCTCGTAAACGATCGATTAATATCGGCACTGTAAATACACACCCCCCGTACAAATCTTTGCTCAGCTTTCTATTGTTTGCGAGTGAGTGAGTGAGAGCCAGAGAGAATGATATATCGCGACAGAAAGAGAGAGAGGAGGTCAGTTCACTCGAACGGATTTTAATGTAAAGCTCGATTCGCCGTGTTCTTTGGACAAGTAGACGTTTAGTGTACATAGTAATGCGAAATATAGGAAGCGTGTTGTGTAACGAATATTTGTTACTTCGATCAATGAGAATTTTCAGAATGCTCGGGATGAACGTACTTATCATCGTTTCTCAAACATCCGTCTTATCTTTCGTTTCTTATTTTTAATTACGATGTTTGTTATGCAACGAGCGCAGAGTACTTACGGGCTGCGACATAGATTAATCTCGATTTCTGTCTAGTTTATTGATAATGAAAATGTTGACGTTATTCGCGAGGGACGGCCTCGTGATATGCGAGCGAATTTGGATTTAATTCGTTGGTCGTGCGCGATCCATCGAGCATATATCGAGTCAACATCGCTCAGGAATACGGTAATCGAAGATCTTTGATACGTTAAGTAAGTTAGACATTCAGTACGGATATTATTACGGTATCTTTTCTATCCGAGATGCTCTCGGTACATTTTTAAAAAGAAAACAGGAACAGGAAGATTAAAAGATAATTCAACAGTTTTGAAAATAATCGAAACTTTTTGTCGAAGTTAGTTTAGTTTAGACTTGGTAGTTCCACGGACTGATTTATTCCAGAACGAATTTATTTTGTAAGTGATACATTTTTTAAAGCGACGAATTATTTTTCAACGATTCTGTATTTTGAGTCGTGTACGAACTAGGAACACCGTTAATCGTGTCGTTATCCTCCACTTCGCTGAACAATTACTTTATCTGCAATAATTTCTTAAAACGAACGATTGCATGGATCGTTCATTTATTTGTTCCGTTAAGATGGAGATAGAGTCGGAGCAACGAAGAGCAGAGGACCTTGGCAGGATTAAATTGTTTTCGTTAAAATACAAATGAAACGACGAATACGATTACAAAGGCAGTATTAGAACAATTACTCAAAGACAGAATTAAAACGTTGCTGTCGGAGAGAATTGTTGAACCTATTGCAACATTGATTATGCTTTAAGAAACGATTATTTGAGTGTTATTACGCAGCCATTGTAATAGATAGAAACAATTTGTATAATTTCGTACATTATTTTTACACAAAAATCCCTCTAAAACTTTAAAACGATCAAATTAAAGTAGCAATTCTTCGAACGTGATACACGCAAACGATTATTAATTTTCAATCACTGCAATTATTTCGTCCGTCGATCGGCGAATATTAACGCGTTCCAGAAAAAAGATTTCACTCGTACTAAAAATGGTATTAAAAAGAATAAAACTTCAATAACCAGAGCACAATTTTACAAACGCAATATATAACATTGATTTATACTATTTTCCAACGTGAATAATTTTTTTTATTCGCATATACGGTATCAATTTTTTTTCTAATCGATCGACGAATATTACAGTGATTTTTTCGATCCCGAAAAATTGTACACAGAGGCTGCGATACTCAGGGTGCGATGTTGCAAGCGTAATGCATACAAATGAGTTGTATTATTTTCCAATCACCGGGAATTATTTTCCTTCGCTCGCGTGTACGATATTAATTTTCACGTGGAATTTCTTTCTAATTAATCAACGTACACTAATGCGATTTCTTTTATTCCGGGAAATCGTAAACAGAGGGTGGAATTTTGCAAACGCGACCCACACGGAATATTATTCTCCAATTATTGGAATCAGTTATTTTACGTGCACGATGTTATTTTACTTGCAGTAACGTTTTTTTATTAATCGTCGAATACGCGAACGTGTGATTTCTACGATCCTGAAAAATAGTGAACCGTAGTCTGCGATACTCGGACGGTAATTTTGCAAACGTAATACATAAAAATGATTTATACCATTCTCCGATCACTGGACGCTGTTCGTTCATTGAAGCGCGGGACAGAAATTTTTGCCAGAATTCTTTTCCGATCGATCGACGAATATTAACGCGATCCTAAACAAGAGGTCCTTTCAGTCAAAAATATTCAATGGATTCAATAAAATCATGCGTAAAAAAAGAAGAGGAGAAGAAAGAAAAGCGAAAACGCGGGGCGACGAGGCTCGTCGACGTTGGGAATCAAACGATTTTCAACGTCGACGCACGACGCTGGCTCTGATCCACCTGTAAGCGTTTTGAAACGCGCACGCAGAGATTCACGAGAAAAGAGAATGGAATAATTTGCAATTAATCCCCTCGACGATACGCATCCATGACGAGTACGCGCGTATTAGTCTATACATGTACACACGCAGACATATAAACCACCTAGTGAATTTCCCTCGATATAGGATGGCAATTGCGAGATAAGGTACGCGATGCACGATAGTGCAACGCTGCACCGATGCAACGAATCGGTCGAATCTGTGTTTACCCTTGCGTCAGAAACGAAAAAGGTGTTCTTATTTTATTCCCAGCGATCCGAGCACCGAAACTTCATCGCGTATTATCGATATCGTTGAAAGTAAATGTGGTATCCGTTTAAATTGAAAATTCTTAATTACAAAGACGATCTTCTTGATACGTACGATCGTCGGAATGTAATGTGAATTTCGTTTAAGAAAGAAGTTCTTTTTATCGATTCGTGGCACTTCGAGGCGAAGAATGCCGTGTTACGTTATCGTCAACATTTATGCAAAACCGGATTACACAGCTCGTGTGGCTGAGACGCGAACGACGTTTGTCACGATAACGAAAATCATTATACTAATAATAGACCTCCTTGCGAGATAAATCTGGATCTTGCGTATCGGTGTGTAACCGACGCGCAATCTGTCAGGATCATCCGTGGAATTTTCGCGTGAATTTTCTGACAGCAGTAAATACCATATTCGGCGCGAAAAATAATTTATTTCGATAGCGTTTTGCACTCAACGAAATTTTGGTCCGAACGAGCAGAGCGTGACGTTCAGTTGCATTTGTTCTAACAAACGCGAGATATCGTGCAATATTTTCTTCGGTATTAAACAAAAAAGGAAATAAAATACCCCAGGTAATTAACGATTATTGTTTGGACGATGTATATTTTACTAATGTCATCGAGTTTCAGCTGTCGTGTTAGGGTATTGTGAGGAAATTTAAGCGATACGTCTGTTTGTTCCTTTACTAAATAAGTACCGACGCCATAATGTATGTTTAGTTATAGGTTTATCGTTAAACTTGTCTCTTGTAGATTTAGTAAGTATTATACGTGTCAAAACGATAGATTTATAATAACGTGTAATAATGTCAACAATAAAGTACTGTTAAGTATACCGGTCGCATTTATTTTCACACACAATAAGTCCCTAAAATCCCATTCCTGGTATTGCAGAGATCAAGGAATAAAAATAATAGAATTGCACCAGGCTTTAAAATCGGGTGTCCCTAAATTGTAAACTATCGTGTTAATTTTTTTTTTTAATAAACTTCTTAGTGGAGTCGGTCCACCGATGGTTTCAATCGACGCAAAGTTAGATTGCAAGGCAATTTTTGGTGAAAACGATCGACGCGAGACGGTTGGAAGTCGAGTAGCTGGGTCGCGCGAGTCGCGTCGGGTTCTCATCGAAAGTGGCTGACAAAGTAGAAAGAAAGGACGTGTTCATCGTTGTCGCGATCATGGTACTTGGGCCGTGTGCACCCCTTTAATCGTTCGTCAAGTGTGTGTGCATTCGGAATGTAATATATCCTGGACGGCACGTGAC